CTCTCAACAAGAAGGGCTCGACTCTTTGATGTGGAGTTTGCATGTTCTTCTTGTCCCGTGTGTTAAAAAATGGGGCTATGAATGAAAAGCTTGAACACTCTCTGGTGTGTTTACCGAGCCAAGCCTTTGTTTGTAGTAATTGTGATGATTATGGCTTGCACTAGTCACATTTTCTGAGATGGGTTATTCGTGGCCATACTTAAATGCGGAAGCCAGATTTGTCCTGAAGCTAAGCACGGCAGCTTCTGGTTACTACTGTGATGGGAGACCTCTGGGAAAAGCATTATCAAAATTTGTGGTGAAAATACTTTATAGAAAAAAATCTAACTTCTGGACTCAGGAGGTTGATCAGAATTTAAGAGAAAGCTCAACATATGTTCATTCATCCATTTTCAACCCCTTTCTTTGTCCATTTCTGGGTCGGGGGGGTGACAATGGGAGCCATAAAGAGGATCATGATTTTGTTATAATATATTTAAATGGGACCATGTTTACAGGTGAAACTAGTCAACTTCAAATATTGTTCAAAAGTCCATAATCTTGAAACTACTACATGACGAACTCAGGAAAAGAGAAATATCAAGCCTTAATGTGTAATGTTGATAATTGGCTCACAGTGTGTAAAACCCCAAATAATAATAATGAATCAGTTATATAGCACTTTTTGGCCACAGTGAAGTTAATACGGCTGTACAGGGCCAAACTGCGGTTGTGTCCTTAGGCAAGACACTTCACTCACATTAGATTGAGTCTGGTGTGTGTGTGAATGGTTGGTGGTGGTGGGAGGGGCCGATGGCACATACTGGTTGCCTCGCTTCTATCAATGTGCCTCAGGGCAGCTGTGGCCAGTAGTAGTTTATCACCACCGTGTTTAGTGTGAAACAATAATGACATGTCCAAAAAATGCTATATAACTGATACATAATAATTATTTGGGGTTTTACACACTGTGAGCCAATTATCAACATAACACATTAAGCCTTGATTATCCATCTCTACACTCTGCTCAATTATCATTTCCTGCATGTAACGTCTGGGTCTAGTCCCTGTGTTTGCGATTACAATCAGTTGAACTCCATCCGACCAATCAGAGAGCGCGGGAGGCGGGTGTTGCAGTTAGTTGTGGATGACGTCAAGAGTTTGCGTCGAACAGGCAGGTTGTAGTTTGGCAATGTTGAAGAATGTGATAGTAAAGTAATCTGGTCTGGTTCTATCAAGAAACTGAAGCCGGAGCAAGAGGAATGTTTAGCAAATGTAATTTCTGGCAAAAATTGTGGCGCTTCTCCCCACGGGCTTTGTTAGCGGCAAAGGAGATGGCTAAAGCTAGGCTAAATGCTAACAGCTCACTCGGGCTCATTTCATACGTCTCGGTAAACTCAGATCCAATCGTTTCAATCTGCAAAAGGAGTTAACCCCTCCCACCTGTTAACGGAGTCAATGGAGCAAATCCAGACCTTAATACGAATTTTAATTTGTACTATGGTGTGGTACGACCAGGCTAGTACTGAGTTTATCATGTAGTAGTTTCAAGATAATAGACATTTGAACATTATTTGAATTTGACTAGTTTCACCTGTAAACATGGTCCCATTTAACTATATTATAACAAAATGATGATCCTTGTTATGATAAATACACATGTTGAGCTTTCTCTTCAATTCTGATCAACCTCCCAGGGCTAGAACTTGGATTTTTTTTCTGTGTAGTGTTTTCATGGTTACCACAAGTTTAGTTATTTGCTTTCTTTCCCCCCCCCTCTTTACTTTGTAGCTGTGTGCAAACTCACACAATCTTTTTCTTCTGTTTAACCGTAGACTTGTTTGGACAGTGCAGATGTTGGCCTGAAAATGGGTGATGAAAAGCAGCGGTTATGGCAGAGTGGCAGAGCTGGAGAATGCTGCCACAGAGGAAATGACTCGCACACAGGGGCTATAGCTCCATGACACAGTGAAATTACCCGGCGGCCCGAGGGTGGGGTGGATGGCTTCCTGTATTGCCGTGCACGCTTGGATATCCTCGTGCACGCGCCTGGCAGCCCCTCCACCCCCCGGAGTGTGTATTTTTTTCCCTTAAATAGCAGTTTTGTGTGAGGTTAGTCCTTTAATGGGATGATGAAACGGAGTGTTCTTCTCCTCCAATCTGACGACGGCCAAGTGGAGGACGACGGAGCGACTGCAGATAATGCAGGGAAAGGCCAAAAGATACGTGAGAACTGAGTAGGCCCAGAGAGGGAAACAAAACACAGACAACCGCTCCCCAACCGACGACTTTTATTTAGAAAGATGAGTGCACAACTATTCATCTCCTATTCGGGAACGCATCTGTGACAAAGGCAGACGGATGATTTCCTCTTGTGTTTTTAAATATATACGACTGTTGTAAGTAAGTAAGTTTTTATTTATATACCACCTTTTCACTGCAGATCTGAGTCTCAAAGCGGTTTACAATTGTTAATTTTTGGGCATTTGTCTCTCACTCCACACAGAGATGGGAGCGGGGTCGCCAGTACAGGAGGCACATGCCAGAACTATTGGACATATTTTTAGTGGTAGGGGAAACCGGAGTACCCGGAGAAAACCTACGCAGACACGGGGAGAACATGCAAACTCCACTCAGAAAGGCCCTGGTCCGACCGGGATTCGAACCCAGGACCTTCTTGCTGAGAGGCGAGAGTGCTATCCACTCAGCCACCGTGCCGCCCGTTGTATTTTGTATAAGTCGATAACCACAAAGTTTTATTTACGACATGAGGCAGTTTTTAAGGTAAACTCCTGGGTTGGCTCTGAAGCATGGGTGTGAAAGTCAAGGCCCGGGTGCCAAATTCGGCCCGCAAATGAATTCTCTTGGCCCCCGGGATGATAGTTGATTAGTATTAGAACCGGCCGCACAGAGACATAATAAAATATTGGGTTTATTCATTTAATGATCATTTTTTCTCTTTGAAGGAAGTTTGTTTTTGTCTGTGAGCTGTTGACAAATGTTTTCACTTGAAATTACTGATAGAGTAATTATTTATTCATTTAAATAATTATTCATTTAATCATTAAAGGCACACCGCGGACTTTGTGACCTAAAGAGTTGACACATATGAGTTATTTTATATGAAAACTTGGGCCAATATACAGCGCTTGACACTTGCAATGCTCCGAGCGGGGCTGCCCTCTTGAAATACCGCCCATGTAAGTTTCGAGCAGACGGACCGTCTGCCACCAGGTCACGTGACTTGGAAGAAAGACTTGCTTTACGGCTACAGGCGCTGATATACTCATGGAGCTAAGGCTTTTGCTACTCATTTTTCACCTGCTCGACTCCTGGTCATGGCTGAGGCAAGGAAAAATTTTAAACCTTCGGAGGAGGCTAAAAAGAGGAAACGCGAAAGGGATCGTGCTGTAAGCTGCATGTCTGTATGAGCGCTGCTCTTCACCTGGTTCCTGGATGTCATCGACTGCAAAGATGTCATTCCACGCAGCACGAGCTAGACGCAGAACTCCCTCATCCAGGATATAGAAGTCCATGTGTGGTAGATTACTAATGCAGCGGTCTGGAGGCTGACCACAGCAGAGTCTCTCAATATCTGTAGGCATGTCTCTACAGTTTGAACACACACACCAGTGCATGCTGTCTGAATACACACTCAAAAGACACCGGCTGACTGTTGACTTTTGCGACAGTGCTGAGTTGCTTGTGGCCACTAGGGGCGCTAAACGTGAAAGTTGCAGGTCTAGCGCCCCTAGTGGCCAAGAGTTACACGGTGTGCCTTTAAGTAAAATACGGTACACTGTGTTAGGTCTTGGTTCAACAGGTTATATGCATAATTTTAGTATGTTTTAGTAAACATTGAACCAGTCTGGCCCTTGACCTGTAGCAAATGTTTTTTCTACCTTTGATGTATTTGACTTTGACATCCCTGATCTAGAGTAATCTTGATGAGCTTGATAAGAATTATTTTTCTCTCCATCTAAGAAAGACTTTAATTGTAGGACTATGTAAATGATAGACTTCTTCATTGTGCTCTTTCTCATTGCTTTGAAAACAATGTCGCACAAATCGAAAATAAATCACACATTTGTTACTATTGTCAGAACTCTGTCTTTCGTTTAGATGAAAAACTGTTGGTGTGGAAGTGGTCAGGAAAGTGCATTTTTCAGCTACGTTTGTTCCTCACACTGTGGAGCGGGTCATAATGACACATTTCTTCTGTGTCAGCTCTAAGTGAAGAACAAACAGTTGTTTCACGCCTGTGAGTAACGCATAACTCAATTATTAGAATAAATACAGTTCTGCAAATGTCAAGCAAAGCAATGAGCAAAGCAATGCATCACAGGCCCCCTGAAGAGCGCCGATGAAGGCAGATCAAAACAAATGGGAGACGGACTGTTCTTTTGGCTCCTCCACCCCCCAGTAAATACTTTTATTATAACAACTAATGGTCTGCGATGGCCCGTTACCAAGTTCTTCATTACCACTTATTTTTTCAGAATCACAGTCCTCTATATTCTTTTCGATTTCCAGGAAGTTATTGTAGGTTCCAAAGCCTGACACTGAAGGACAGAAACAGTTTACAGAATATTGTGAGAACTTGCTCCAAAATCTCTGAGACCTTCACTCTCTGTGGGAGGAGCAGGTGCTGAATAAAGTAAAGTGTATTCTGGCTCAGCCCAAACATCCTCTGATCGCTGACTTCGTATTGATGCCTTCAGAGCGCCGTTTTGATGCTCCAGCACGAAAAACAAACCGTTTTTCCAATTCTTTTGTGCCCTCTGCCATAAAACTGTTGAAGTCTGGTCGAGGTGTTTGACTTTTGGGAATTGTGTTGTTCAGTGTTGTTTTTTAACTGATTTTGTGTACCCTGCTGCTGTGTGAACTGTGAGACTCTGTGTGTTTGTGTAGAGTATGTGTGTTCTGCTTTTAGTATATGCTGCAAATGAATTGTCCTTTGGGATCAATAAAGTTTTCTGAATCTAAAACTCTTTTTTGTTTGTTTTTTTGTGTGTGTACAGGATTCCATGAACGCTCTAGTCTTGGACCTGGACTACCCCGCGCTACGCAAAAACAAAAACATCGATACTTTCCTAAACAGATGTTAGTATTGCACAAATCTAAGTAAAGACTATGTTTAAAGTGTCTGCGGTTACTTCCTGTATATGATTGATGTGCTCTTCTCGCAGACGAAAGGGTCATCGGACAGATTCGGGATCTGCAGATGAGATCAGAGGATTTTGATAGAGTTAAAGTTATTGGTCGAGGAGCGTTTGGTGAAGTCCAACTGGTGAGTAGTCCGCTTCAGCCTGGTTTGGTACGGTATTGTGCTAATACACTACAGCTTCATGTAAATGTACTCGGCAGCACCGCATTGAAAACATATTTGCCATCAGGTGGGCGGCACGGTGGCTGAGTGGATAGCACTCTCGCCTCTCAGCAAGAAGGTCCTGGGTTCAAATCCCGGTTGGACCAGGGCCTTTCTGAGTGGAGTTTGCATGTTCTCCCCGTGTCTGCGTAGGTTTCCTCTGGGTACTCCGGTTTCCCCTACCACTAAAAACATGCACAATATGTCTAGCATGCGCCTCCTGTACTGGCCCCGCTCCCATCTCTGTGTGGAGTGAGAGACAAGTGCCCAAAAATAATAACAATTGTAAACCGCTTTGAGACTCTGGTCTGTGAAAAGCGGTATATAAATAAAGATTACTTACTTACTTACTTTTGTATTGGACTTGTGTGTAACTTGTGTGACTTTTATAATCACCTGACCAATCACCTGATCAATATTCTTCACCTGACCCACATTTAAGAAATGGGTTAAAACAGTTTGGTGTTTTTGCCTACTAAATTCTGCTCTACTCTGTTTGGGAATGCACTGATATGACCATCTGACATTTAAATGGGGGTAAAAAGTATGTTTTTTTTTTTTTTTTGATCACCGCTCATGAGATATCTGTGTTTCCATTTGATGAGTTGTATGATTTTAATACAGTAATTATCTGACCACTTTCTGATAAAAAATATAATTCAACCTTAATTGATGGAGATAATAATAAGTGCGATTATTCTGATCATGAGCTGCATTACTTCACTAACGGGACTCGGAAAAACGGGTAATTCAAATGTCTATATGCTGCTTCAGGAAATCAGAGAAGGCAAGGCAATATTATTTGTATAGCACAATTCATACACAAGGCAACTCAAAGTGCTGAACAAAACAAGAAAGCATTAAAATAATAAATAATCACAGAACATTAAAAAGAAAGATAAAAATATAAAATCCCTCAGTTGTATGCACAGCTAAACAGAACTGTTTTTAACCTGGTTTTAAACATTGTCATTGAGGAGGCCTGTCTCACATCTTCAGGAAGATTGTTCCAGATTTTAGCTCGAGAAATCACAATAGATACATGGAAAAATGTATCTAAAAGAGCAAAGGTTTTAAATATTGTATAATCTATGTAAGATCAACCCAGTAGATATTTGCAGTGTTCTGAAGTACGGTCCCTTCAAGATAATGTAGATTTGTGCCCATGTCTTTCCTGAATAACACTCAATGACCGACTAAATTACGTACTATTTATCATAAGGTTATATTGAGAACGCCAATGTTGTATATGGCTGACTATGACATTGATTTATATTTACAGGTTAGGCACAAAGCATCGCAGAAAGTCTACGCCATGAAGCTGCTCAGCAAATTTGAAATGATCAAACGTTCAGATTCTGCTTTTTTCTGGGAGGAGAGGGACATCATGGCATTTGCAAACAGCCCCTGGGTTGTGCAGGTAAAGCTTTCCGTCTGTAATGGTTCGTCATTTGTCAAATTAACAACGGAATGGTAAAAATGTATGCTTAGGTTTTGTCAAATATGCTCTGATGACTCCAGCTCGACATGAATGCTGCATTTTTTTGTGGATCTGACCCAAATCTTTCACTGAAACCTGTCTCTTGATGTAGATTGTATCTCTGTTAAGAAGGTGAACTTGATAATATCTACTTTTCCGTCCACTACATAACCCCATTATGCAGCTAATACTTTTCCCTAGTGAAATTATTTAAGATAAGCTATTCCTTCATTGGTCTCACAGTGGACCATTACAGCAGAGACAGAGACTCAGATTGCATCAGTCTATTTTTTAAGATAATAAGATGGTAAAATAGCATAAAATTAAATGAAATAAACTCTGGAGCTGTAATTGCACTTGGTTCAGAAGTATTTTGTAGATGTAAGTAAGTCTTGAAAGTTTTAAGTATGGAGTTTTAACTGTTTTCCAGACCTTGAAAAGTCTTGAATTTTGTGTGAAAGTCTTAATAAAGTATGGGGAAAAAATGTATGGTAGAATTTTACAGTGTCCTCAAAGTCGTGGAGAAATGAGAGTTAGGAAGGTAGGCTTTAAAACTATAATTTTACTAACGGGTCACGCACTGTATTAGCCTGAATAATATCCAATCAACGCTAGCTTAGTCTGGTCTGGCACATGTTTGTGACGTAGCTAGCCTATTGGTCAACAGAAATGGGTCGTTCCGTGTTTTCTCAACCGATGAAGTAGGCAGTAGCCACACAAGTACATAAAGTTAAGGTCTTGGGGGAAAAAAACAATCTGGAAAAAGTCTGGAATTTTAATTTGGAAAAAGAGCAAGCACCCTGAGTAAGTAAGTATGTAGTAGATGTGTATATTGTACTTTAGCCGCGGAGAATATGGGCAGAATAAACATCAGTAATAACAGGTAAAGAAACCCGTGAAATGCAGAAGGATCAGATCAGATAGTGCTCCATCCCTAAACCAGTTTCAATAATTACTTCGTGGACTTGGATAGAGTTCCATCCTTAAGCATGTCTGAGTCTTGTTCATGAGTAAGGGACGGATGGAGTCTGTATTGGACTTCTGTGGTGGCGGGAGTCAATGCTCAGTTCCCACCCCCACATTTGCGGTCGCGGATAAGAGAAGTCGAAATTAGTTTTGTCTGAGTAGTGACCGGGCACTGCCTTTTTAGCGATGGGGTGAGGACCTCAATCACACACCAGGAGCTCGGAGCAGTAGACCTCTTCATGTGGAGAGGAGCGAGCTGAGTGACACCAGCAAGAAGGTCCTGGGTTTGAATCCCGGTCAGAACGGGGCATCTCTGAATGAAGTTTGCATGTGCTCCCTGTGTGTGCGTTGGTCTCCTTCGGGTGCTCCGGTTTCATTTGCCACTAAAAACATGCACATTAGGTCCTGCACGGGCGACCCCACTGTCTGTGTGGACTGAGAGACAAGAGAGTGACTCTGGTCTGTGAAAGGCACTATATAAATAAAGATTACTTACTTACTTACTTACTGAGGTGTCTGGCTCGATGCCTCCTAGACATGTCCTTATGGAGGTGTTCTGGGCATGTCCCACTGGGAGGTGTGTGTGTGTAAAGGTGCACTGCCACTTCATTAATCCCTGTAGGGCAATTCAATCCTCTGCATTTGACCCACCCTGATGCCGCGAAGGCTTTTGTCAGGAGCAGTGGTTGCCGTAGTAACAGCGCCCAGGGAACCCATCTCCGGATGTTGATGCTCGTCTTGGTCAGGACTACCGGAGCTGGAGGATTTAACCTAGTGAGCATGTTTTTAGTGGTAGGGGAAACCGGATTACCTGGAGGAAACCTACGCAGGCACGGGGAGAACATGCAAACTCCACTCAGAAAGACCCTGTTCCGACCGGCATTCGAACCCAGGACCTTCTTGCTGAGAGGCGAGAGGCTGGGTGTGTGGACTGCTCCCTCTGCAAAACGTAAACAGATAATTAATGCGGGAAGTTGTTCATTCTGCTTGGTTTTTGTTACTCATGTTTATCTAATATGTTTTTATTTATCATTATTAGTATTATTAATCATGTATATTTTCTAAAGCGAGACACAAACACACGTGTCGGCACGGTGGCTGAGTGGATAGCACTCTTGCCTCTCAGCAAGAAGGTCCTGGGTTCGAATCCCGGTTGGACCAGGGCCTTTCTGAGTGGAGTTTGCATGTTCTCCCCGTGTCTGCGTAGGTTTCCTCCGGGTGCTCCGGTTTCCCCTACCACTAAAAATATGTACAATAGTTCTGGCATGTGCCTCCTGTACTGGCCCCACTCCCAAAAATAACAATTGTAAACAGCTTTGAGACTCTGATGTGCAGTGAAAAGGCGGTATATAAATAAAGATTACTTACTACTAAAGATTACTTACACATGGAAGTTTGTTATTGTGACGGGCTCCCGCTCCCTCTGTTCTAGCTGTGCTGCGCGTTCCAAGACGAGCACTATCTGTACATGGTGATGGAGTACATGCCCGGAGGAGACTTGGTAAACCTCACCAGCACGTACGACGTTCCAGAGAAGTGGGCCCGGTTCTACACAGCTGAGGTGGTCATGGCTCTCGACGCTATTCACTCCATGGGCTTCATCCACCGCGACGTCAAACCAGACAACATGCTGCTCGACCGCCACGGACACCTCAAACTGGCCGACTTTGGCACGTGCATGAAGATGAACGCTGTGAGTGACAATCGGACTCTGAATAGTCGTAACACACAAGTCCTTAATGAGATAAAAGGTACAAGAACAGAGTCCTTGCCATACTAATTATAAAACTAATTTGACGTTGTACTAGGGTCTGGGTTTGCCCGATTGAGCTCTGTTAACTGGTTGGAGGGGTTAACTCCTTTTGCAGATTGAAACGATTGGATCTTTAGCATTTAGCCTAGCTTTAGCATTTAGCCTAGCTTTAGCATCTCCTTTGCCACTAACGGAGCCCGTGGGGAGTAGCGCCACAACATCTTTGCAGAAATGACATTTGCTAAACATTCCTTTTGCTCCGGCTTCAATGTCTTGATATTTGGAGCCGAACCAGCGCTGATTACTTTACTATCACATTCGCTGCCATTGCCAAACTACAACCAGCAATTTCCAGCGTGAAAAAGTGAGAAACCGCGGGGAGTCCCACATCGAGAGACGGATCCGCTCCCACAGACGGATTGGCTATAGATCCAGGACTGATTGAGACCATGTGGCGGGGAGGCAGGTGCAGCCCACGAGTCCAGACTGAGGGGAGACACATGTTGTACTTCTTCATCCTGACGCATAGGTAGTCAAGGAAAAACGTCTCTAATTATTCTCAAACTTCAGACCTGAGGACTGGACTAATGTGATTGTACTTCCTGGTTCTAGTCAGGGCTCGAGCTGCAGCCGTTTGGACATACTGCAGCCGTGTAGATTATGGAGATCCACAAACAAAACGGTCGCTTTGAGTCCGTTTGCTTCATAAATGCTGAAACTCTCTCGTGTGTGTGTGTGTGTTTTTCAGAATGGGATGGTGCATTGTGACACAGCTGTAGGAACGCCCGATTACATTTCTCCAGAAGTTTTAAAATCCCAGGGAGGAGACGGTTCTTATGGAAGAGAATGTGACTGGTGGTCTGTTGGGGTCTTCATTTACGAAATGCTTGTTGGTGAGTGAACCACGGTTATTTCAGGCGTCTTCAGTCTATTAAACTTAAGGTTTTAACTGTTTGAATCTTAGGTGACACGCCTTTTTATGCGGATTCACTGGTGGGAACTTACAGTAAAATTATGGACCATAAAAATTCCCTCAACTTTCCAGACGATGTGGATATCTCTAATAATGCCAAAAAAATCATCTGTGCCTTTTTGACTGACAGGTACGGATAAATCAGAGAAAAGGTTCAACTAGACTAGGGATAATTGTTCCAGATATGAATGTGAATGTATGTGTTTTGGACTTTCTCTGCTTACGACCCAAGATTGTATTGATTTCTGATTTTTTTTTTAAGATGCTAACGTATAACTACACATTTAATGCACTAGAATATACAGTACATTATGCCTCTTATTTTGCAAAATGTAAAACTTTTATACTACTTTTTTTATTATTTTCAAGAAAGAGATTTTATACTTGTTGCTAGAGTTAGAGATTTTGTTTTTTTAATTAGTATAGCTGTGTGCTCCTGTATCCTACTGTTCTCTAACTTTGTTGTGTTTCAGGGACGTTCGATTAGGTCGGAACGGGGTAGAAGAAATCAAGAGGAATAATTTTTTTGTGAATGATGTCTGGACGTTTGACACCATTCGAGAAGGTCAGAAAAGCTCAAACACATCTGAGTTTAAGCGGCATTATCCTTTTATTATCCTTCATTATTCTTTCACAGGACAGTTCTATAATGGTTTGTGATTTTTCTCTTTCAGCGGACGCCCCTGTGATCCCGGAGCTGAGCAGTGACATTGACACCAGTAACTTTGACGAGATCGAAGAAGACAAAGGCGACGTGGAAACCTTCCCCACTCCTAAAGCTTTTGTTGGAAACCAGTTGCCTTTCGTCGGCTTCACGTACTTCAAAGAGGATCAGTATGTCATCTTTATCCCTGTCTTGTATTATTCAGGAGAAACTCAATCAATGTTAATTATAGAGCCCTTTACACTTTTTTCCCAAAACTCTAAACCCAAAGCACTTTTCAAAACTGACCCATCACACCAAAACACTTGCTCATGTTCTCAAAAGCTAATTCTGTCACCACAATACCACTCAAGGTCTGCAAAAATATGAACACTACTGAGCAGAATTAACCACAGCAAAAACAAACAATTGAAAACACAATTTTCAGAGTATGACACTGTTCTTTTTAACTGCCAGGACTTTTTATTCTCAAATATGTTTTGGGCATTTACTATAGATTTGTGCGTTTCATGAGAATTGTTACTTAATGCAGAAAATGGAGTTATTACATCACAACTCAATGCTAAAGCAAGTACTGTAAACTCCATGGAGGAGCTATGACACACAATAGATACAACAGTACAGTAACAATTGGAAACACAATGTTCAGGGTGAATTGTGTTTATGGTTGTGGAAATGTGTTCAGGCAGCTGGTCATTCGGTTTAGAGTGCTGGGTTTTGTGTTGCAGCAATAGAGAAAAACCGTATAACACTCAAGGCGACCAAAGTGCTTCACAATAAGATAAGATAGACTTTATTGATCTCACACAGAAGATATAAAATCCATTAAAACATTCATGCATTAAAACAATAAAACGGTTAAAAAGCATTAAATAGTATCACTGCTAATAAGTGATAAAAGTGCTGAAAGCCAGTCTGAATGAATTTGTTTTGAGCCTTAATTTAAAAAGGCCAAAATCAGTGAGGACAGGCATGTCAGGGGGCAGCTTGTTCCCGAGTCTGGATCCAGGACTGAGAAGGACCGGTCACCCCAGTGTTTAGACCCAGTCCTTGGTTCTTCCAGGAGGAGCTGAGATGAGGACCTCAGGATCTGCCCGAGTCACAAACGGAAAAAAGTTCGGACAAGTGCAGAGGGCGAGACCATAGAGGGCGTTAAAATCAACTCAAAACAAAACTGGAAGCCAATGTTGGGAATAAAGTACAGGGGTGATGTGTTTACGTCTGGGTGTGTTGGTGCAAAATGCTGCGGCTCACTTTTGAACAAACTGAAGACTATTAAAACAAATACTGGGGGGACTCCAAAATAAAGGCTTTACAGTCATCAATTCGTGAACTGATAAAAGCGTGGATTGTTTTCTCCAGGTCTAAGCGGTTTAAAAAAAGCTGATAAAAACTTGACCTGACCACAATTTTGTTCTGTTTTTGTTACAGGCTTTTAATTGCATCAAATAATTCATCTGTAGCGCAGGAAAATTCCAAAGGAGAGGTATGTATTTTTTGTTTTATCTTAGACTTGGCTAAATGTTTGGTGCGTATTCTCCAAGCCTGATTCAAGAATTAAGTCTTTTTCAAAAGAAACAACACAAAAGAGGATTTGGGATTTCTTCCTGATCCCATGATTTATAACCACTTTGGGGGAATTTGAAGGCATAAAGCAGGCTAAGCAGCTTTTCTAACTTAGCGACTTGAAATTAAGATAATCTTGAGGGAATTCTTCTGTGCAGTTGATTGAGCGTTACTCCAAATGCTTGGGGTTTTACATGTTTGCAGCACATGTATGGATAATGTTGCTTGTACTTTGCAGTCGGCAGCTTTGCAAAAGAAACTCAGTCAAATTGAAGTAGAGTTAAACAATGAGAAGCAAGTCAAAGATGATTTTGAACATAAATACAGGTACGGATATACAGTAAATGGTTATTATAAAACAGTATTTGATCAATCTAGAGGTGTTAATGAAAGCCTTTTTGTTCCAGATCTGCCAGTAGTCGTCTGGAGAAAATCACCAAAGACCTTGAAGAAGAGGTTTGTTGAACTGGATTTGCAAACCTTATGAACTAGAGCTTGGTTTTCCTTTGAATCGTGAGGACATCCGTTTGTAAATGACGTTGATTTCAGGTCAGCACTCGGAAAAGTCTGGAGTCGAGTATGAGGCAGTTGGAGCGGGAGAAAGCACTGCTGCAGCACAAGACCCTGGAGAGCCACCGCAAAGCCGAGAACGAGGCCGACCGAAAACGCTGCCTGGAAAACGAAGGTGAGCCGGTGCTTTTGAATAAGAACAGACTCGTTTCTATTTGTCTTAAATCTTTAAAGCTAATGCATCAAAGTACATCAGTGACATGTTAGTCCCATATGAGCCGACCCGGACTCTGAGGAGCACAAGGACTGGACTCCTGCTGGGGCCCAGAGTCAGGACTAAACATGGGGAGGCTGCGTTTCAGATTCATGCTGCTAAAATCGGGAACAATCTTCCTGAAGATGTGAGACAGGCCTCCTCTCTGACAATGTTTAAAACCAGGTTAAAGCGTACTGTGATTATGTATGATTTTAATTCCATCTTATTTTGTTCAGCACTTTGAGTTGCCTTGTGTATAAATGTAAATAAACTTGCCTTGCTTTACGTGACATTTTTACAGTAAACAGTCTCCGGGACCAATTGGAGGACATGAAGAAGCGCAACCAAAACTCACACATTTCCAATGAGAAGAATATCCACCTACAGAAACAGGTCTGCACTGGAATCCAAATGTGTTGCACCTTATTGCATACATTCTCTCTGATACATCTTGTTTCTGCAGCTCGAAGAAGCAAATACTTTGCTACGTGCCGAGTCTGAGACGGCGACTCGACTGCGGAAAACTCAAGCTGACAACAGCAAACAGCTGCAGCAGCTGGAGGCCACTGTGCGTGAGCTGCAGGACAAGTGCTGCATCCTGGAGCGGAGCAAACTGGGCCTGGAGAAGGAGAGCATCGGTCTGCAGGCGGCGCTGGAGTCTGAGAGGAGGGAGCACAGCCAGGGCTCCGAGACCATCACCGACCTCACGGGTGAGTCCCCCATGAAGGACTTTAAAGTAGCAATATGTAAGATTTTCATGCCAAGTCATCATTAAAGGGCCCTAATCTGTCATAAAAATAAAACATGCTCTTTTCCAATACTTCTTTAACTGATCAAAGTAGTTCAGAGATATTCGAATTTCTAAATTACTTTTACAGCTCCTAAATATTGTTATTGTTTTCATTTCAATGTCCCGCCCTCCACCGTTTCACCAATCAGAAAGTCCCTGATCCAGGTTGCCAGAACTCTCTGTGTGGCGCTAATCTCACTGGTAAATGTAGCGCAGAAATAAAAAAAGTCTCGTTATGATTCTCAAATCATTAACAACAAAACAAGGAGTAACCCAAGGATTTCTATCTTTGTGAAAAAGGTGTTGGTTATAGATTTGTTGTTGACTAAACTCTTGTCTATTCCGCTGTTATGGTCCCCGCTGGATTCGTCTGCATATCTGGCAACCTGAGTCAGGGAGAGTGGGACAGTTTGCAGTACCACTTTTGGATCAGATTTTGGCATACTGCTCCTTTGACATCTGCCTGTAGATGTTTTTCATTGTATTTAAAATAAAAATGACAGCCCGCCGTGATGGTCTGTGTGGATGAGTAGACTTTGGAATGAGCAAAAGTAGAAATGGCAACGACTGATTATTTTTGTTTTTTTTACAGCACGCATTTCTAGCTTAGAAGAGGAAGCTCGTCAACAGAGACAATCCATGTCTAAACTGGAGACGGAGAAGCGGCAACTTCAAGAGAAATTTAACGAACTTGAGAAGGTAAACGCACATTTCTAACATAAGGATTCCAGGCTTCATTCCTTTCAAACATTTGACTTTTTATTTGTGCAGGAAAAAAGCAATAAGGAGATCGACCTAACCTACAAGCTGAAGGTAGTGCAGCAGGAGCTTGAGCAGGAGGAGACCGCACACAAAGCCACCAGAGCCATGCTGGCGGATAAAAGCAAGATCAAAGTCACTATTGAGGGAGCCAAGTCGGAGTCTACGAAGGGTATGAACTGATACTATATCCCATAATACAGTGTTTGTCATGGCAAAAACCTGGAGACGTTTTGTAAATGTTTAAATATTTGGTTATTTTTGTTCAATTATTTTCATGGTAAAACTACAAAAATGAAACTAGAAAAACAAAAACGCACACCAAGTTCTTCCCATGAGGTGCATGTGCTGGAGTAGAAATTAAATGTATTGGAAAATACACAGCACACTCGGATAGATGTCCAAAAGATCTAGTATTTATTACGTTTCGGCCTTAGCCTTCGTCAGATCATTTTTATCTTATTCATTCATATTGTGATCCAAATGAATAAGATAAAAATGATCTGACGAAGGCTAAGGCCGAAACGTAATAAAAACTACAAAAATACCACAAAACACCACAATAATCCAGTAAATACATCATTAATAACTCCGCTGGCTCCCTGTTCCATATCGCATACAATTCAAGGTCCTCCTCCTCCTTCTCACCTACAAGTCCCTCCATAACCCGGCCCCCTCTCACCTCCCTGACCTCCATCATCACTGCCCCTCCCGCCGCCTCAGACCCCCACAGACTCAGACCTACTCAGGACTAAACACCAAACCCTGGGGGGGGGGGGGGGGCCGAGCCTTCGCTGCAGCCGCCCCCAGATCTCCTCCTAGAGAGAAAACTCCTCTTATAAACTCCTACCACATTCTTATATAAAGACATTTACAATATAGACAGCCTAACCGGTAACAAACAGGCTGATTTGTAAATGGACAATATTTAAGTTAAAAAATCTCTTGATAAAAAGCCTGTATGTGGTCCTTGTGTGTCTGTGTGTGTGGGTTTTAAAATTAATTGTTCAGCCAAAAATGATTTTCTACCGACAGTAGCAAGAAAGAAAGCAAGAATTTGATCATAGCAAAACTCTTAACATGGCATGGCATAGCATAGCATGGCATAACATAGCATGGCATGGCATAACATAGCATAGCATGGCATAACATAGCATAGCATGGCATGGCATAACATAGCATAGCATGGCATAGCATAACATAGCATAGCATAGCATAGCATAACTTAGCATAGCATAGCATAGCATAACTTAGCATAACTTAGCATAACTTATCATAACATAGCATAGCATGGCATAGCATAACATAGCATAACTTAGCATAACTTAGCGTAACTTAGCGTAACTTAGCGTAACTTTGCATAACTTTGCATAACTTAGCATAACATAACATAGCATGGCATTTTTAAGAACTTATCTCAAACATTATGCAAAAGATTCAAAATTAAAGCAAGACAAAAACAGAATTCAACCAATACTTATATAGCTACAACCCCCGCTACTCATGCAACACAACCCAATCACACACACACACATGCAACACAACACAATCACACACACACACATGCAACACAACACAATCACACACACACACACACACACACACTCACTTTTCTGCCTGAAAACGGCTGATCTAAAGATGTTGAAACGCATGCAAAAACTAGTAGCATGGATTTTAGCACTTAGATCTTAAATTAGATAAAAAATTAGGTACTTTAAGTCACATAAACAAGCTCTGATAATGAAGCTCTCTTGTTTCTTTTTGTGTTTCTTATATGTATTTTGCGGTGACTCAGAATTGGAGCAGAAGTTGGCGGAGGAGCGCTCGGCCAAAATGCGTCTGGAAAACCGTATCCTTGAGCTGGAGAAGAACAGCAACATGATGGACTGTGACTACAAACAAGCGCTGCAGAAACTGGACGAGCTGCGCCGGCACAAGGACAATCTCACAGAGGAGGTGGGCGGCTTACGTAAACGCTGAAGAGAAGGCAGATATATATACGACCGTTCAGTGGATTACTTTAGTACCGTGACTACAGTTCATGAAATCAAGAAATCCAAGCGTGCAAAGCCAGCAAACGAATGCTAAATGTTATCATACTGTATTTGGATTGGATTTTGTTTGTCATTTTCTATACGGACTATACGGATACTAGAATGTATACAGTTATTTGGAAAGACTGCAGTATTGTGGCATTAACTACAGAAAATGATTTACAATTTAAGCTTCAATACTTACATAACATAATAATTTTGTTTTAAAGTCTCCGTCTAAAGGAAATCACTATAGAGCAACCCTATTTGTTTGTGTGTACTGTGTGAAAACAAAACATTTTGATAACTAAGAAACAAGCCAAACAGAGGGGAAAAAAAAGTTTTTGAAAGAAAGATTTTTTTCATATGCAAAGATCAATGGTTAGCGAAATAAACACTCCTCTGCAGTTTTGTGATACACTGGACGGTCTATTCATGCATTTTCATTAGAATCTTTATCACATGAATATGTTGTGACAAAATACTGTTAGTTTGAAATCGTCCTCATTATATTAAACTAGCAAAAGTAAGATTTCCATGTCCAGTCATCATTAAAGGGCCCTAATCTGTCAAAAGGCAGTAATACCAATAATTATTTAAAGGTTCACAGTAGTTGAGGGATACTCAAATTTTAAAAATGTTCAAACATTTTACAGCCTTTCGTCATTGTTTTAATTTTTTTTTGCAATTGCAAAGTCTGTGATCCAGGTTGCCAGAACTCTGTGGCCGTAGAATGTTTATCTTTGTGAAAAATGTGTTTGATAAACTCTTGTTTATGGGCTATATGCACGAGCAGGCGTGACGTCATTTCCTGTTAACAAAGCACAGCCCGTCCACTTCCTGTCTATGCTATCCTATGGCTTTTAGGTGAGTTTTAGTGACGTTTTTAGTAATTAGATCGATACGTTCAGCTGAGACTGACCCAAAAGTGTCACTGTGCTTTCCCTCTGAGAAAAAGCTTCGACTGTGGCCACTAGGGGTGTGACGATATATCGATTTTTCGATATATCGCGATACTTTCTCCCGCGATTCGATTATCAATATGCATTTGCCAAGTATCGATATTGATTTTGAAAAAAATAATTAAAAAAAAAAAACATTTTTTTTTTTGGAATTGGTATCAATACTTAATATATGGCTACATTACGCATCTCCATTCTATTTATCATGAAATAAAGAGTATTCTTTCTTTTATTTATGCCATAAATTGGCATATTGTATATTTCTGACCAATATATCAATAATCGTCATATCTTGATAAAATCGTTATTGTGATATTATCGTTATCGTGAGCTTTGTACCGTGTATCGTATCGTATCGTCAGGTACTCTTAGGTTCCCACCCCTAGTGGCCACTCAAAGCGATTTTTAAACTTTATAAAAACACAATGACAGCACAATCAAAAAGCACTGCTGTGTCCCAAAAATGCCCAGTATCCTCACAGTTTGATTCCCGTTTGAGCATTATTTGGGAAACTCGTGTAAACCACTGCTGAACTCCAGTGAAACTCAAGCCTTTCCCCGCGCACAGGAAGTGAGGTGGGGCTTTAGCTAAAACGCTGAAGTGGTGCGTGCACAGAGCCCATTCAGCTGTTCAGCGGTCCCAGCTGGATTCGTCTGCATATCTGGCAACCTGAGTTAGGGCGAGTGGGAGAGGCTGCAGTACCACTTTTGGCCAGATTTTTTTTTACAAATTGCTCCTTTTTAAACGACAGTGTCCAAAAACAGTGTAAACATACATTTCCTATCTTGTCACCATTGCATTTGAATTCTGTTGTGTCTTTTTAGGTGAAGAATCTGTCGTTGAAGATCGAGCAGGAGACGCAGAAGCGCAGTTTGACTCAGAACGACCTGAAGGCGCAGAACCAGCAGCTGAACTCACTGAGGACCTCTGAGAAACAACTCAAGCAGGAGCTCAACCACCTGCTGGACATGAAGCGCAGCCTCGAGAAACAGAACCAGGAGCTGCGCAAGTCAGTACCGCCCTTTATCTGCACTAACTATGTGGAAACTTTCAATCTACTAATCTACCTTTATCTGTGGAGTGCTTTTCCTACACAGGGTCACCCAAAGTGCTCCACAGGCCATTTTACATCAGGCATAAATCATCACATGAAGATTAAAATCACATTAAAATCATAAAAAACCAACGTTATGATCACATGGACCGTTTAAAAAGAGGAGATACACCTTTATTAGTCTCACAGTGGAGAAGCTTCAGTGTCATCGTTGCACATTACAGCAGAGAAAGAAGGAAATAAAACTCAGACGCACACATCAGTCTTTTATTTAAGATCATAGACAATATAATTAAAATACAATAATAAGATGGTAAAAAAGAATACAATAAAATAAAGTCTGGAGCTATAATTGCACTTGGTTCAGGAGTTTTTACAGATGTGTATGTTGTTCTTTAGCAGCGGAGAATATGAGCAGAGCAAACCCCAGTAATAATATCAACAGGTAAAGTGACTAGTGAAAGGCAGAAGTATCAGATGGATAATAATGGTAGTAATGCAGTAATAATAATAACAGATGAAGTAACTAATGGGGCGACAGTAGCTCAGTTGGTAGAGCCCACCACGGGACCTTCTCCACCGACTCCCACTAATGCCTGCTGTCGTTGTGTCCTTGGGCAAGACACTTAACCCACTAGCCTATAAGGAGCGCGGATATGATGTTCGCTGCATGCCTTGATGTGTATATATGTATGTACTATATGTGTATGCATCAAACTGAAATTTCCCCATTGTGGGACGAATAAAGGACCTTCTTCTTCTTAATGACAAAGTTACAAGTGAATTATTATTATCAGTGACACTTGTACAGCCCAAATATTATAAACTCTTTGCCTGTGAGACACGGACACTCCCTGAGGCTCCATAGTTCAGCTTCAGCGGTGTATTTGCGTGCACAGGTTACGCACAGGTTCTGTGTGTATGGTCTTCCATGAGCACGTTACCGCGGCGCCATTCACCGTGTTGTTGTAAGTGGCTCGCAGCCGCTAAGAACAACCAGAGCGGTCGCCGCGGAGGCGGACTTCAGTTCATGACAAACAATAGCCCGGTCACGCGCGTATTCTTTTAAAACTTGAATTCCCAGAGACCTGCTCTGTCTTCACACACAGGCATGTGTCCCTGCATTCTGAGTGTTATTATACATGGGCGTTCAGGCGTTAAAGTTATGGGCGGCACGGTGGCTGAGTGGATAGCACTCTCGCCTCTCAGCAAGAAGGTCCTGGGTTCGAATCCCGGTCGGACCAGGGCCTTTCTGAGTGGAGTTTGCATGTTCTCCCCGTGTCTGCGTAGGTTTCCTCCGGGTACTCCGGTTTCCCCTACCACTAAAAATATGTCCAATAGTTCTGGCATGTGCCTCCTGTACTGGCCCCGCTCCTATCTCTGTGTGGAGTGAGAGACAAATGCCCAAAATTAACAATTGTAAACCGCTTTGAGACTCAGATCTGCAGTGAAAAGGCGGTACATAAATAAAAACTTACTAATGCCTTAATGAAAAATGTAATCAACGTGAGTTAATGCAATAATTTAGACAGTTCTGATTATAATACAGCTTGTATGTAGTAATAAGCATTTTTATGAACTACTTAAAACAAAAAAATTGGGTATAGCTGCTTTAAGTTGATCTGTGCATCATTTCACCAAAAATACAGCTCTGCACCAACTGCGCTCTCAATATGTGTTTTACCAACTCAACTTTTTCTTTTCTTCCCCAGGGAAAGACAAGACACAGACGGACAAATGAAGGAGCTTCAAGACCAGCTAGAAGCCGAGCAGTATTTCTCTGTGAGTCTGAGGCATGAGTCATCTGTGCGTGGGCTGTTGTGCTGCATGCTTTTAAAAACTCAACACAACAGCTCACACTGTTTTTTATTTCTATATTGTATAATGTTTCACTGTGTTTTTTTCAGACACTGTACAAGACACAAGTGCGTGAACTGAAGGAGGAGTGCGAGGAGAAGAACAAGCTTCATAAAGACGTTCAACAGTCGCTGCAGGAGCTACAAGAAGAACGGTGAGGCTGCGGGAAACAGAACCCACCTCAGTTTGATAATATTAACGCTTTTCATTTGGGCAACAATGATTCAAGGTGTCTTTATTTGTACCTGTGGGTAGATTCTTTTTGCAGTTAAAAAGAGATAGACTTGGAATCTATACAAAAAATATTTATAAAATCACATTTACACGAATAATTATTTAAAAAAACACAGCATATGTTTAAATGAACAAAGGTAAAAGTTTCATAATCAGGACTCCAGAGTAAAAACCCAGGATAAGAAATAAAGTGCAACGTTCCACTGCTGTAGCACAGGGACGCTATAGGCAAATATCCTCTGTACCTGTCTGCTGTAGCACAGGGACGCTACAGGCAAATATCCTCTGTACCTGTCTGCTGTAGCATAGGGACACTACAGGCAGTGATCCTCTGTACCTGTCTGCTGTAGCATAGGGACACTACAGGCAGTGATCCTCTGTACCTGTCTGCTGTAGCATAGGGACACTACAGGCAGTGATCCTCTGTACCTGTCTGCTGTAGCATAGGGACACTACAGGCAGTGATCCTCTGTACCTATCTGCTGTAGCATAGGGACGCTACAGGCAGTGATCCTCTGTACCTGTCTGCTGTAGCATAGGGACACTACAGGCAAATATCCTCTGTACCTGTCTGCTGTAGCACAGGGACGCTACAGGCAGTGATCCTTTGTACCTGTCTGCTGTAGCATAGGGACACTACAGGCAAATATCCTCTGTACCTGTCTGCTGTAGCATAGGGACACTACAGGCAGTGATCCTCTGTACCTATCTGCTGTAGCACAGGGACGCTACAGCCAGTGATCATCTGTACCTGTCTGCTGTAGCACAGGGACGCTACAGGCAAATATCCTCTGTACCTGTCTGCTGTAGCACAGGGACGCTACAGGCAAATATCCTCTGTACCTGTCTGCTGTAGCACGGGGACACTACAGGCAGTGATCCTCTGTACCTGTCTGCTGTAGCACAGGGACGCTACAGGCAGTGATCCTCTGTACCTGTCTGCTGTAGCACAGGGACAATACAGGCAGTGATCCTCTGTACGTGTCTGCTGTAGCACAGGGACACTACAGGCAAATATCCTCTGTACCTGTCTGCTGTAGCACAGGGACGCTACAGGCAGTGATCCTTTGTACCTGTCTGCTGTAGCATAGGGACACTACAGGCAGTGATCCTCTGTACCTGTCTGCTGTAGCACAGGGACGCTACAGGCAAATATCCTCTGTACCTGTCTGCTGTAGCACGGGGACACTACAGGCAGTGATCCTCTGTACCTGTCTGCTGTAGCACAGGGACGCTACAGGCAGTGATCCTCTGTACCTGTCTGCTGTAGCACAGGGACAATACAGGCAGTGATCCTCTGTACGTGTCTGCTGTAGCACAGGGACACTACAGGCAAATATCCTCTGTACCTGTCTGCTGTAGCACAGGGACGCTACAGGCAGTGATCCTTTGTACCTGTCTGCTGTAGCACAGGGACGCTACAGGCAAATATCCTCTGTACCTGTCTGCTGTAGCACGGGGACACTACAGGCAGTGATCCTCTGTACCTGTCTGCTGTAGCACAGGGACCCTACAGGCAGTGATCCTCTGTACCTGTCTGCTGTAGCACAGGGACGCTACAGGCAGTGATCCTCTGTACCTGTCTGCTGTAGCACAGGGACCCTACAGGCAGTGATCCTCTGTACCTGTCTGCTGTAGCACAGGGACGCTACAGGCAGTGATCCTCTGTACCTGTCTGCTGTAGCACAGGGACAATACAGGCAGTGATCCTCTGTACGTGTCTGCTGTAGCACAGGGACACTACAGGCAGTGATCCTCTGTACCTGTCTGCTGTAGCACAGGGACCCTACAGGCAAATATCCTCTGTACCTGTCTGCTGTAGCACAGGGACGCTACAGGCAGTGATCCTCTGTACCTGTCTGCTGTAGCATAGGGACACTACAGGCAAATATCCTCTGTACCTGTCTGCTGTAGCACAGGGACGCTACAGGCAGTGATCCTTTGTACCTGTCTGCTGTAGCATAGGGACACTACAGGCAAATATCCTCTGTACCTGTCTGCTGTAGCACAGGGACGCTACAGCCAGTGATCATCTGTACCTGTCTGCTGTAGCACAGGGACGCTACAGGCAGTGATCCTTTGTACCTGTCTGCTGTAGCATAGGGACACTACAGGCAGTGATCCTCTGTACCTATCTGCTGTAGCACAGGGACGCTACAGCCAGTGATCATCTGTACCTGTCTGCTGTAGCACAGGGACGCTACAGGCAAATATCCTCTGTACCTGTCTGCTGTAGCACAGGGACGCTACAGGCAAATATCCTCTGTACCTGTCTGCTGTAGCACAGGGACGCTACAGGCAAATATCCTCTGTACCTGTCTGCTGTAGCACAGGGACGCTATAGGCAAATATCCTCTGTACCTGTCTGCTGTAGCACAGGGACGCTATAGGCAAATATCCTCTGTACCTGTCTGCTGTAGCACAGGGTCGCTACAGGCAAATATCCTCTGTACCTGTCTGCTGTAGCACAGGGACGCTACAGCCAGTGATCCTCTGTACCTGTCTGCTGTAGCACAGGGACGCTACAGCCAGTGATCATCTGTACCTGTCTGCTGTAGCACAGGGACGCTACAGCCAGTGATCATCTGTACCTGTCTGCTGTAGCACAGGGACGCTACAGCCAGTGATCATCTGTACCTGTCTGCTGTAGCACAGGGACGCTACAGGCAAATATCCTCTGTACCTGTCTGCTGTAGCACAGGGACGCTACAGCCAGTGATCCTCTGTACCTGTCTGCTGTAGCACAGGGACGCTACAGCCAGTGATCATCTGTACCTGTCTGCTGTAGCACAGGGACGCTACAGCCAGTGATCATCTGTACCTGTCTGCTGTAGCACAGGGACGCTACAGCCAGTGATCCTCTGTACCTGTCTGCTGTAGCACAGGGACGCTACAGGCAAATATCCTCTGTACCTGTCTACTGTAGCACAGGGACGCTACAGCCAGTGAGCCTCTGTACCTGTCTGCTGTAGCACAGGTACGCAGCACTGGCAAAAGACCATTTTATAAGCTGGTCTAAAGAGTTTTTGATCCAAAGAAACCATGAAGATAAAGAGAAAGATAAGTTTGATTCAATATGAAAGTGTGCCAGCATCAAACAGTTGCTGCTAACTAATTTTTACACAAAACCTTTCTGTTCTCCTCAAACTTCCGTTTATAATCAATGATTGTCCAAAAGTATTTATATGATCATCGAATTCATTATAATAATAATATGAGTAATTCTTAATAAAATGTTAATGTTAAAAGTCTGGTCAGTACAGACCCTAAAACACAGTTCAACAGCCTTAATCTTAAGAACCACCATATTTTTACCATATCCGTTTAAAAAGACGCCAAATTAAGTAATAATTAGCTATCAAAGTGACATAAGCCAATCTTTTATTATTATACAAAAACAACGGCAAAAAGTACAAAATATAAGGCCGCAATGTACTGTAAGTTGTACCATCTTTTACAACCAATGATTTTAAATATTGTGACCAACCTCTTCAAAAACCTCAGAGAAAAAGGGGATTACATAAGAAGTAGTTGGTGACAGATGTTGTGTGTCAGGGATTCGTTGGCGGCGCAGTTGGAACTCACGCTGACGAAGGCGGACTCGGAGCAGCTGGCCCGGTCCATCGCGGAGGAGCAGTACTCAGACCTGGAGAAGGAGAAGATCATGAAGGAGCTGGAGCTGAAGGAGATGATGGCGCGACACCGACAGGAGCTCGGAGAAAAGGACATCACCATCAACTCGGTCAGTGCTCAAGTTTCAGGTTCATTTAGTTTGCCATTTGCAGTAAAACCCCATTGGAATACATACGTGAAAGTTCCCAGTGTGCGCAAGACAAGGACATAGATAAAAACAAGGTTAAAAGAACAGAAATAAAACAAAACTAAAACGGTTTCAATACAATTGAATATCATTTAAAGTCTCTCTCTGGTCTCTTTCTCTGGTCTCTCTCTCTCTCTGGTCTCTCTCTCTCTGGTCTCTCTCTCTGGTCTCTTTCTCTGGTCTCTCTCTCTCTGGTCTCTCTCTCTCTGGTCTCCTCTCTCTGGTCTCTCTCTCTCTGGTCTCTCCCTCTCTGGTCTCTCCCTCTCTGGTCTCTCCCTCTCTGGTCTCTCTTTCTGGTCTCTCTCTCTGGTGTCTCTCTCTGATGTCTCTCTCTGGTCTCTATCTCTGGTCTATCTTTCTGGTCTCTCTCTCTGGTCTACAGTGCCTTGCGAAAGTATTCGGCCCGCTTGAACCTTTCAACATTTTGCCATATTTCAGGCTTCAAACATAAAGATATACAATTTAAATTTTTTGTCATGAATCAACAACAAGTGGGACACAATCGTGAAATGGAACAAAATGTATTGGATAATTTAAACTTTTTTAACAAATAAAAAACTGAAAAGTGGGGCGTGCAATATTATTCGGCCCCTTTACTTTCAGTGCAGCAAACTCAGTCCAGAAGTTCAGTGAGGATCTTTGAATGATCCAATGTTGTCCTAAGACTGATGATGATAAATAGAATGCACCTGTGTGTAATCAAGTCTCCGTATAAATGCACCTGCTCTTTGATAGTCTCAGGGTTCTGTTTAAAGCGCAGAGAGAACCATGAAGACAAAGGAACACACCAGGCAGGTCCGAGATACTGTTGTGGAGAAGTTTAAAGCCGGATTTGGATACAAAAAGATTTCCCAAGCTTTAAACATCTCAAGGAGCACTGTGCAAGCAATTATATTGAAATGGAAGGAGTATCAGACCACTGCAAATCTACCAAGACCCGGCCGTCCATCCAAACTTTCATCTCAAACAAGGAGAAGACTGATCAGAGATGCAGCCAAGAGGCCCATGATCACGCTGGATGAACTGAGATAGCTACAGCTGAGGTGGGAGAGTCTGTCCATAGGACAACAATCAGTCGTGCACTGCACAAATCTGGCCTTTATGGAAGAGTGGCAAGAAGAAAGCCATTTCTCAACGATATCCATAAAAAGTCTGGTTTAAAGTTTGCCACAAGCCACCTGGGAGACACACCAAACATGTGGAAGAAGGTGCTCTGGTCAGATTAAACCAAAATCTAACTTTTTGGCCACAATGCAAAACGATATGTTTGGCGTAAAAGCAACACAGCTCATCACCCTGAACACACCATCCCCACTGTCAAACATGGTGGTGGCAGCATCATGCTTTGGGCCTGCTTTTCTTCAGCAGGGACAGGGAAGATGGCTAAAATTGATGGGAAGATGGATGGAGCCAAATACAGGACCATTCTGGAAGAAAACCTGTTGGAGTCTGCAAAAGACCTGAGACTGGGACGGAGATGTATCTTCCAACAGGACAATGATCCAAAACATAAAGCCAAATCTACAATGGAATGGTTCACAAATAGACGTATCCAGGTGTTAGAATGGCCAAGTCAAAGTCCAGACCTGAATCCAATCGAGAATCTGTGGAAAGAGCTGAAGACTGCTGTTCACAAACGCTCTCCATCCAACCTCACTGAGCTCGAGCTGTTTTGCAAGGAAGAATGGGCAAGAATTCCAGTCTCTCGATGTGCAAAACTGATAGAGACATACCCCAAGCGACTTGCAGCTGTAATTGCAGCAAAAGGTGGCGCTACAAAGTATTAGCGCAAGGGGCCGAATAATATTGCACGCCCCACTTTTCAGTTTTTTATTTGTTAAAAAAGTTTAAATTCCATCCATCCATTTTCCTCCCCTTAATCCATTTCTGGGTCGGGGGGGTGGCAGTCAGAGCTGCACCCAGTCCACATAGCACCAGCCCCTCACTGATCCTCCTGCAGGTGGTGAGTCCACAGGAGCTGAGATCTTTCAGTTGGAGCTTCAGGCAAAGTGGGGTTAAGTGTCTTGCCCAAGGACACAACGACAGCAGTCATCAGTGGGAGTCGTGAAGTAGGTCTTACGGTGGGATTGAACCCACGACCTTCAGGCTCTAAGGCCAATGCTCTACCAACTGAGCTACTGTTGTTTAAATTATCCAATAAATTTTGTTCCACTTCACGATTGTGTCCCACTTGTTGTTGATTCTTGACAAAAAATTACATTTTTATATCTTTATGTTTGAAGCCTGAAATGTGGCGAAATGTTGAAAGGTTCAAGGGGGCCGAATACTTTCGCAAGGCACTGTATCTCTCTGGTCTCTCCCTGGTCTCTCTCTCTGGTCTCTCTCTCTGGTCTCTCTCTCTGGTCTCTCTCCCTGGTCTCTCTCTCTGGTCTCTCTCTCTGGTCTCTCTCCCTGGTCTCTCTCCCTGGTCTCTCTCCCTGGTCTCTCTCCCTGGTCTCTCTCTCTGGTCTCTCTCTCTGGTCTCTCTCTGGTCTCTCTCTCTGGTATCTCTCTCTGGTATCTCTCTCTGGTCTCTCTCTCTGGTCTCTCTCTCTAGTCTCTCTCTCTGGTCTCTCTCTCTGGTCTCTCTCTCTGGTCTCTCTCTCTGGTCTCTCTCTCTGGTCTCCCTCTCTGGTCTCTCTCTCTGGTCTCTCCCTAACCTCACAATCCTCACAGAGTGGAGCACCTTGTTTAGAGGTCTCCTTTCTATGTTTTTGCTACATCTTTAAAAACAGCCTGATTTTTACTGTCTTAACTCATTGAATGCCAGCCTATTTCAGAACAGGTACTCCCACAGTGCCAGCCATTTATGATGATTTTTACTGATTTTTCAAGACCCACAGAATATTGTGTACTATGACTATCTGAAATCCGACACCAGATTCTAAAAGAATGGACTGTCTACTTTCCTCAGCAAAAAGAATTTTGTTTATAGCCTTTTTCGTTCCCCTGTAATCCTCCGTCGAGTAGAGGGAAGTTTTACTGAAATCACCAGAAATCACCAGAAAGTTGAGAAAAAAGAGGCACAACATGTGCACCTACATGTTTTCAAACCATTCAGAGAGCAATGCTGCCACCTGCTGGCTCGATAAAATATGGTCTCAAGTCATCCCCATACATATTAGATACAATAGACATCTGGGAACGTGAAAATAGCAAAAAAGGCATTTGACGTATTAATGCGTCAATGGCACACTATGTTACTATTTGCTTTGACGTATTTGTGCGTCAATGGGACACAATGAGTTAAAGTAGGCCACATATACTTTTGCTGTTTTGTTCTTTATAAGTACTTTCACATTTTACGCCCAGAGCGCAGTCTGTTCAGTGTGGGCTGGATCTGGTCAAAAAGGTCCATGAGCTCGTGCGCTGACATGCTGCAATCTCACTTTTCCTGCTGCCGGGCGGGAAAATGTGGCTCATTTGTGCATGTGTTAGCTGCACCAGCCCCATTCATTTTAACAAGCTTAACTAGACTGGTCCAAAAAATAAATATATCCCCTCAGCATCGACAGAATCTGGAACGTAGCTTTGGACCAAGAGCCTCTTTTGGACCATCCTGTAAAGCCGTTGGGTGAAAGCCTTGGGTTATTCTCTTTCCAGGTACACCCCCACCAGCCCGGAGTGAGATTGCAGCCTGTTAGCGCACGTGCTCATGGACCTTTTGGAGCCGCGACCCGCCCACACTGGTTGTAGCACTGTGAACCCTGCAGCGCTCACTGCCCTTGCCTTTTTACTCCTTATTGACTGTAAATAAACCCATCTCTTCAGCACACACTGGCCTCCTTTGGGCTGTAAGTGTATTTTGAGAGTCATTTAAACTCTCAGGTCTTTCAGGATGTTTACAGACTGCTTTGAGGAATGGGACGAAAGTGTTTGTGCCCTGAATACTCAACACAGGAGATGCAGAAACTGATCTTATTCCTCTTTTTGCAGCTGGAGGAAGCCAATCGCACCCTCACCAGTGATGTCGCCAATCTAGCCAATGAAAAAGAGGAGCTCAACAACAAATTGAAAGATATGCTCGAAGGTAATCTGAAATTAAATCTCCTATTCCATCCAAATGTGTTTGTGTGCATTTGTGTGTGTGTGTTTTTTAAAATATCAGACTGACATTTACTCTTATGGCAATTTTAATAGAATCTGAGAAGTCGAAGGATTGGGAGCAACAGATCAGCCAAATGAAACAAGCGTTTGAAAAGCAGCTGCAGTCGGAGAGGACGCTGAAAACCCAGGTACCCACTCACTCTGCCACTTCAGATCTGTACTATAGGTGTCTATAGGTGGTCTCCATGTTATAGGACTCAGGACTTGCCTGTGTTGACTCGGGACTCGACCTGGGACTTACTCGTCTTGACTCGGGACTCGACTTGGGACTTACCTGTCTTGACTCGGGACTCGACTTGGGACTTACTTGTCTTGACTCGGGACTCGACTCAGGACTTGCTTGTCTTGACTCGGGACTCGACTGAGGACTTACCTGTCTTGACTCGGGACTCGACCTGGGACTTACTCGTCTTGACTCGGGACTCGACTCGGAACTTACCTGTCTTGATTCGGGACTCGACCTGGGACTTACTTGTCTTGACTCGGGACTCCATCCAGGGACTTGGCTGTCTTGACTCTGGACTTGCCCATCTTGACTCAGGACTAGACTCGGGACTTGCTTGTCTCAACTCGGGACTTGCCTGTCTTGACTCGGGACTCGACTCGGAACTTGCCTGTCTTGACTCGGGACTCGACTCGGAACTTGCCTGTCTTGACTCGGGACTCGACTCGGGACTTGCCTGTCTTGACTCTGGACTTGAGAAGAATGAATTAAGACTTGTGACTTGCCAAACTTTATAATAACTTAGTCCCACTTCTGTTCCAAATGTTTTCCCAGATACATATTTTATAGTGATTAGAGCGTATTATTTTATATTATATTATTATTGATTAAAAAAAAAACTGATTAATATTATTATGTTATCTTTTTCTTTGCATTATAATTGTTGCCTTGTTATGTTTCTGAATTATGACAATCTGAACACTAATTTAAACACTAAAGGCAAAAACTCTAAATAAGGTATTAAAAAAACAATTCAACATCTTTGCATGTATCTATGTTATAATTTGCAACGTTTCTATTTGAAATGTGATGTCGCATGAACTTATTTGAGGGATTGAAATACTGCGCAAACGTCCTTTCTGAACCGATGTGTCCGCAGGCCGTCAATAAACTGGCGGAGATCATGAACAGGAAGGAGATGCGCGGAGGAGGCAGTCGCCGCGGCAACGACACAGACATGAAGCGAAAGGAGAAGGAGAACAGGAAGTTGCAGCTGGAGCTGAGGTCAGAGAAGGAGAAGCTCAACAGCACCATCATCAAATACCAGAGAGAGATCAACGAGATGCAGGCGGTCAGTGACATCACCCACTTCTTCCACTGCTCACTCTCTAAGCTCGCTGATCACCGAGTTTTGGAGACTTCAAGAAAACAGGCCATGCTTCAGTGTGAAGTGTGTGACATGATTTTGGACAATAAGCTGCGGCTTTTCCCCCAAACTTTGACTGCTGCGGCTTATACTAAAGTACGGCTTAATTTGTATTTTTTATTTTTCTGGGGTGTCAAAACATTATTCCAAGTAGGCAAGGCAAGGCAAGTTTATTTGTATAGCATAATTCATACACAAGGCAACTCAAAGTGCTGAACAAAACAAGAAAGCATTAAAATCATAAATAATCATTAAAAGAACATTAAAAAGAAAGATACAAATATAAAATCCCTCAGTTGTATGCACAGCTAAACAGAACATTGTCAGAGAGGAGGCCTGTCTCACATCTTCAGGAAGACTGTTCCAGATTTTAGCAGCATGAATCTGAAAAGCAGCCTCCCCATGTTTAGTTCTGACTCTGGGCACTAACAGGAGTCCAGTCCCTGTGCTCCTCAGAGTCCCAGCAGGAGTCCAGTCCCTGTGCTCCTCAGAGTCCCAGCAGGAGTCCAGTCCCTGTGCTCCTCAGAGTCCCAGCAGGAGTCCAGTCCCTGTGCTCCTCAGAGTCCGGGTACAAGTCGACCAACAGAATTGATGAGTAATTCACAAAGGTCTAATATAAATTGTATGAAATGTCAATCAGTCTTTGTCCTGGATCTCGTCAACAACATGGAAAATACTAGAAGAAAAGTATGAAAATTATCATTAATATTAATATTAAGAGATCCTTTATTCGTCCCACAGCAGGGATTTGTGCATTACCAAGACAAATGTACAGTTTGTTTAAAGATCACAGGCGCAGTGACAAAAAAGCCTTTTATTATGTATTTGTTTGTTACCGAGCAGATTAAAAACAGTTGAAAAGTCCTTATCTTTGTGTAAAAATCTCATATAATCAATATGTTTTCTCTGTGAACTGAATAATGGTGAATGTTGCTATTTGTTTCTGCTTCACACTGAAGATTCAGGACAGTCAATAACTCATTTTAAGTTTGGGGGCTAAATTTTTCATTATTATAAAGTGGGACAGGTGCGGCTTATAGTCCGGAAAATATGGACTATTATAAAAGTATTAATGATAAATTTAATGAGATTTATAAAGGTGTGTATTGAAGATGTGGCACCCAACTTTTGTTTTCATAAATATTTCATTTTGTTTTGCCCCAACAGAAAGAATATTGTTTTCTAATAAGATGAATACATTTACATTTATCTTTTGCAAACTTGTAAGAAAAAGCCCTGTGAGTTTGGGGGTCTAGTTTTACCTCCTTTAGTCTGACAGAACCAATAATTATCCAACTGCTTTGATCTTTCTGGTTTAGAATGATCACAAATTAAAACCATCTGTCAATTTATGAATAATTCTAAGCGTTGATAATTATATGATGAACTCTAAAGCTCTGTCTAAATCTGGTCTGTCCAATGTTGTGTCCATCTCAAATAAATACATACATAATAATAGTTAGCTGGTTACATGATATTCCTTATATTGTGTGCTAAGCTAACCAATGTGTATATTCTTGTCATCTCTGATTTGTTTTCCGTCTAATTCCGATCATTCATGTTTTGTTTATTTTGATTTCATCTTTAGCAATTGGCTGACGAGAGCCAGAACCGCGTTGAGATGCAGATGGCTCTGGACAGTAAAGACAGTGACATCGAGCAGCTGAGGAACCTCCTGCAGTCGCTCAGTGTCCAGTCCATGGACACCACCAGCATCAGCAGCGGCCCAGAGTTCGACACTGACGACGCATTCACAGGTGACAAAACCTCCTGAGCTTCTGAATTCACGACACTTTCTATACGGTTTCCCATAAACAATTAGGCTATATTCACACGAAGACAAAACGCTTATAATTTCAGAAACTTTTTCTGTAAACACGGAGTTAGCTCAGTAAATGTGTGCGTCCATATGAATGTAGTCAATACGCCTGAAAACGCTGTGAAACTATGCCAGACCTGTTGGTGGCGCTGTGACGCAATGACGGGATCAAGCCCAAACTTCCGTGACGGGAACTGGGCATGCGCAGAATTTTGTAAACAGACAACATGGCGAGTGTGCGAGCTGGTACTACATTAGTATGGACGGACGATGAGGTTGAACTGTTGCTTCGGGTCGCACTGGATTACAAAACCAACAAGCTACATTGTTGTTGTCATTATTTTCTGAGTGCGGCGCATGCGTGCTTTAACAAGAGGCGGGGCGATGACGTCTCAGATACATTACGGAGAGGCAGTAACCACGGAGCGGCATATACGGAGTTTTGAAATCTTTCCACTCTGGGACCTACTTTCAAAAATGTTCGTTTACACCCCCCTAAAACGCCGGCCTCGTATGGACGATACACTGGATTGATAAAGTATTTTTGCGTTTAGGCCTGAGCTTGACTTCGTGTGGACAGGGCCTAAGCCTTCATTATTCTCATATCTTTTGCTTATTGATTTTTGTAGATCTCAGTCTCGTTCATGTCTCCACTTTTGGTCTGTTTCTCACACACAGGCTGTACATTTGTAACCGCCTATCTTCGTCTTTGAAACTAATGTGCCCTCACTTTTGTCTTCTGTGGGCTTTTTCAAAATGGCCGCAGGGCAGGAAAATGTGAAAACACACATTTGAGCATGCGTTAGCCGACACTACCCCCTTTCATTTGAGTGCATTCAGAAGTCCACAGCGGCTAAACTAGGCTGGTCCAAATTAAAATCCCCCCCTCAGCATCGACAGCATCTGGACCGTAGCGTTGGACCAAGAGCTACATTTGGACTAAACTGAAAAAAACTAGAGCAAAGAAGACGCCATACAAAAGCATTAGGGTAATTCTCTTTCCAGGTACACCCCCACTGGCAAGGAGTGAGATTGCAGCATGTCATCTCTGCGCACGTGCTCATGGACATTTATGAGCCGGGACCTGGTTTCACATCAAATTGTGAATAAGCATTTTGTTTTTTCTCTTCCAAAACAGAAACCAGGCTTGAAGGTTGGCTGTCACTTCCTGTCAGAAACAACACTAAGAAGTTTGGTTGGGAGAAGAAGGTAAAATGAGTTGTGTATGAAATATGCCACAGGAGATGTTAAATTTAATTGTTTTTTTTTTTTTTTTTTCTTTGTAGTACGTGGTTGTGAGCAGTAAAAAGATACTATTCTACAACAGTGAACAAGACCGAGAGCAGTCCCTTCCCTACATGGTTCTGGATATAGAGTAAGTACCCATTTGTCAAGTTTAAAACACATTAGACACACAATTGACACTGTGAAAGGAGATTTAAAAACAAGAATACACAATAAAGTGCTAGGTTCACCAATTCGAAAAGACAAACAATCTCTTGAAAGCTAAAACTTGTAATGTATATATTTTTTCAGCAAACTATTTCACGTGAGACCGGTCACACAGACGGACGTGTACAGGGCAGATGCCAAAGAAATCCCTCGAATATTCCAGGTGAGTGTCTGTAAACAAGCTTATTTTATAGGACGTTTTAAGAAAAGTATTTATGACCCGGTTAATCACACGACAGATCCTCTATGCCAACGAAGGGGAGAGTAAAAAGGAGAGCGAGGAGCAGCTTCCCATCGGGGAGAAGTCCAGCTACATCTGCCACAAAGGCCATGAGTTCCTGCCCACATTGTACCACTTCCCCACCAACTGTGAAGCCTGCACCAAACCTCTGTGGAACATGTTCAAGCCTCCGCCCGCGCTGGAGTGCCGCCGCTGCCACATCAAGTGCCACAAGGACCACATGGACAAGAAGGAGGACATCGTCGCACCGTGTAAAGGTGAAACCCGTTAAATATGCTTGTTGGTTTAAAACTGTGAAGACGTTAGATGACGCTTGGTTGTGAATTAATCCATAAGAGGAAGGTGCAGTTAAAGATTTTACTGGGGAAAAAAAGCAATATATAACGGGACAAAAATAACATTGATATTTAGTAGGAATAAGGCAAGAAAACAAGAATCAGTTCTGGAGCAAGGACACCAATCCACACTGTCCCATGATGCACCTGTGTCTTAAGGGCCTGGCGCTAAAATCTTGGAAAAATACAAAAAAATAATACATTCATTCCTTTATTCGGAATAAAGGAATTCTAATATTTTGTTATAAGAAATACAAAACAAAATAGAAATATTCTAAATATAAACAAAAAAGCAAACATTTGTTCAGGCTCCTCCAACGCTCATCAAGTAGGGACAGACAGCCGCCTCTCCTGATTGGGCGCAACGTTTCCACGCACCAATCAAATGCACTCGTTTGGCTCCACATTCTCGATCAAATGGAGCTAGCTCTCTTTGGGCTCTTCCGCATTAAGGGTAACTCCACGGTGATGTCAGCACTGCCCTCTCCTCGTATACAGTCTTTGGCTGTGACTTGGCCATGGTTCAGAGCTGGTGCTCTCCCCTCAGACAAATGTATGAATATATGAATGTCAGCAAAAAATGTGTTGAGTTGCCTGAAGCCCTCGCTGAAAGATCAAGGCCGTATCTGCGTAGAAGGAGCAGCCATCTTCCTGTGGACCCACCACCTGCAGGAGGATCAGGGAGGGACTGGTGCTTTGTGAATTGGGTGGCAGCTCTTACTTCTATCCCCCAGACGCAGAAATGGATAATAAAGGGATTAAAATGAATGAATGAATGAATACATTTCAAAAACCTCCCAGAGCCCAGACCAGAGCTGAACAAATACCACGTTTACTCATTGTAGAAACCAGACTATTTATCATATGTGCTTTGCTAATATTTGTATGTTTATTTTTTTCAAATTAAAAGCAAGGATTAAGTCTAAATACTAAAATACGTAAAAATCCTATGAGCCAAAATACTAGAACTATAATAACAATATATTGTCATGTTGACTGAGTTATGACTAAACACAATTGATCAAAGATCAAGAAATAAACTTGTAAAGTTTTTTTTATAAGGCACTTCACAACGCAGTCAAGGAAATGATTGTTATTTCATCCTATATTTCAGTCAATTATGACGTGTCCACGGCCAAGAACCTGCTGGTGCTGGCGGTGTCGCAGGAGGAGCAGCAGAAGTGGGTGAGTCGCTTGGTGAAGAAGATCCCAAAGAAAGCAGCCACAGGAGAACAGTTTGCACGGTCCTCGCCACGCTCCACCATGAAGGTCCAGGCCAGTCAGTCCATGAGGAGGCCCAGCCGTCAGCTCCCCACCAGCAAGAGCAGGTACCAGCACACCGTTCATAGTCACAGTTCAGAGCCCATGCTGTTATACTGCCCCCTACAGGCACTCGGTCACCACGGTCTGTGAACCAACTTAGTCCAAAAAAAGTAAACCAGACGAGTGGGAATGTGCCTTTAGTCTATTTGAAGCAGACTCTGGTAAAGTTTGAATGTATTCTAAATCTACAAATTGTTATAAAAGTTGTAAAACACTTCACATTTAAAGGAGCAGTTTGTAAAAATGTGGCCAAAAGTGGTACTGCAGCCTCTCCCACTCTCCCTGACTCAGGTTGCCAGATATGCAGACGAATCCAGCTGGGACCATAACAGCTGAATACACAAGAGTTTTGTCAACAACAAATCTATAACCAACACCTTTTTCACAAAGATAGAAATCCTGGTTTTATTCCTTGTTTTGTCGTTAATGATTTGAGAATCATAACGAGACCTTTTTTAGTTCTGCGCCACATGGTACTTTACCAGTGAGATTAGCTCCACACGGTGAGTTCTGGCGCCCGGATCACAGACTTTCTGATTGGTGAAACGGTGGAGGGCGGGACATCGAAATGAAAACAACTTAACTAGTATGTAAGCAAACACTGATGTGATGGAATTATATAAGCCTACACACTGCTTGTACCTAAAATCAATCAATCAATTTTATTTATAGAGCGCTTTTCCAACTCAGGGCAACACAAAGCGCATCACAGTCCACACCACACAAGGCACAAATCATCACCATTAAAAATAGAAATAAAAACACACAGGTAATTAAAAACATTAAAATCACACACAGTTACAATAAATAACAGGGTGTGTTAAAAAGATAAAATTCTTCAGTTGTATGCACAGGCAAAAAGAAAAGTCTTTTAACCTGGATTTAAACATTGTCAGAGAGGAGGCCTGTCTCACATCTTCAGGAAGATTGTGCCAGATTTTAGCAGCGTGAATCTGAAAAGCAGCCTCCCCATGTTTAGTCCTGACTCTGGGCACTAACAGGAGTCCAGTCCCTGTGCTCCTCAGAGTCCCAGCAGGAGTCCAGTCCCTGTGCTCCTCAGAGTCCCAGCAGGAGTCCAGTCCCTGTGCTCCTCAGAGTCCCAGCAGGAGTCCAGTCCCTGTGCTCCTCAGAGTCCCAGCAGGAGTCCAGTCCCTGTGCTCCTCAGAGTCCCAGCAGGAGTCCAGTCCCTGTGCTCCTCAGAGTCCCAGCAGGAGTCCAGTCCCTGTGCTCCTCAGAGTCCCAGCAGGAGTCCAGTCCCTGTGCTCCTCAGAGTCCGGGCTGGTTCATATGGGACTAACATGTCACTAATATATTTTGGTGCGAGGCCATGGAGAGACTTGTAACAAGCAGAGCTGTTTTAAAGTCTATTCTCTGAGCCACAGGAAGCCAGTGCAGAGACCTGAGGACTGGACTTATGACCGCTGACATTAAGACTGTAATAAATACTATACAATTAAAATATCAGACAAGGGATTAGAATGACTGCATTAAAAAGAGTGGAGATAAAATCCTTCTATGCACAGGAAACTAATCGATGAATCAAAGGAATAATCACTAGAATAATCCATTATCAAAATAATTATGAGTTGCAGCCCTGATTGAAATGCAACTGTGTCAGGTACTCCCTGTTGGAGAAATGCAGGTGTCCAGTCGCAGCAGAAACACATCCATCCAAACAAACAAAAACAAATAAATAGTTAATTCTAAAAGTAGCTACAATAATATTAGTCCTTCAGTACATACATCAGTCCTTCAGGTCACAGCAGCAGAGGTGGAGCCACTTGGTTCAGACCCTTTTCTCTGCTCTGGTCCGAAGAAAAATGCGAAATGCTTCATTAGCATTTTTCAAAAAGTTAGCATTCCTCCTGATCCTCTTGGTTCGGACCATGAATCCTCTCTGCTCTGGTCTGGACCAGTGTAAAACCATGAATCCTCTCTGCTCTGGTCTGGACCAGTGTAAAACCATGAATCCTCTCTGCTCTGGTCTGGACCAGTGTAAAACCATGAATCCTCTCTGCTCTGGTCTGGACCAGTGTAAAACCATGAACACTGAACTGCAGCAAAATCGCAGGCAGAAAAAAAACAAGAAACATAACAATTGTAAAACACGTAGGACTCGCTGCCGTTTCCTGCTGTTGCTGTTAGTGATACATGCATTAGATGAGAAACCTTCACTGTATTAAGTGTGAGATTCTTCAGTAAATTAAAATAAACGTCTTAATCAAACATTCTGCTGGTCATCCAAAACACGTCCCATTTCAGAGAGCAGTCTCCAGACGACCGGAGCCTTCAGGACTGGCACTGGACTCTGGATGAAATTGATGATGATTGTTCTTCCATTCATTTCTGATAATTGCTCTGGTAACAGTTTGTGGTTGTGTGCTGTGTGTTGCAGTGGATCTGTGTTTCACTACTACACAACACTGGTGTATCTGTATTTTGTGTTGCCATAACATTACATGGTCCTGTTGTAGACGTGAAGGCCCCCGCAGGTCTAACGGCATCAAAGTGAAGCGGCAGGAGTCCGACAGTGGGCAGTGGTACTAACGACCCGCGCTGACCTGTAACCACTTAGTTTTGTATGAGGCTTTTATTTCCTCTGTGTGAAGCGGGTGCGGTAAGAAAACACGGGAGACCAGTGCATGAGACGGGCGGTGTTTCTTAGAGCTGTGACACTTTGGTGAAACTTATTATAATGTAGGGATGCATCGGCAGGACATGGGTATCTGATGTTTGTCTTGTTCAAAGAGGCAGTGTGTAAACATGTGGCCAAAAGTGGTACTGCAGCCTCTCCCAGTCTCCCTGACTCAGGTTGCCAGATATGCAGACGAATCCAGCTGGGACCATAACAGCTGAATAGACAAGAGTTTTGTCAACAACAAATCTATAACCAACACCTTTTTCACAAAGATAGAAATCCTGGTTTTATTCCTTGCTTTGTCGTTAATGATTTGAGAATCATAACGAGACCTTTTTTAGTTCTGTGCCACATGGTACTTTACCAGTGAGATTAGGTCGAGGCAGTGAATTCTGGCGCCCGGATTACGGACTTTCTGATTGGTGAAAGGGTGGAGGGCGGAGGGCGGGACATCCAAATGAAAACAATAACAAGATTTAGGGGCTGTAAATCCAAATATCTCTAAACTGTTGTCATTTAAAGAAGTATTGGAAAAGAGCAGGTTTTATTAATGCCTTTTGACGGATTAGAGCCCTGTAATGATGACTTGACATGAAAATCTTGCATATCGCGTAATGACATTGGTTGATGGTGGCATGTGCAAAGAGACACCAGTAGAGGGCGTCTGTGCTCTTTCCTCAGTAGGAGAAACAAAGAAGATGGCGGCGGTCGTGTGGCGATAATTGACAGTATCAGAAAAAAAATCTGCGTTTATGCAGTTTGTACGAGTTCAGGGAGACCTCCAAGAAAGTCATTTACACAAAGAATCTCATTGGACGTTGGAGAAGGAGGCGGGGACAGCGACCGGATGAAGCTGAAGGAAAACCGGAAACTGAAGCCGCCAACAAACATATATAAAATAACAAAGAAAAAAACATCGGCCATCTTGTTTTGATACACATTGGTATCGGCCCAAAATGTCACAATCGGTGCATCCCTATTAAAACGCGATTAAGACTTTTGTGTTATTTTTTTGACTGTTTTGAATGATACCCACTTATTGCGCTTTTTTGACTTTTCCACAGTTAACCTCACTTTGGAGAGCGGGCGCCTCTTCACAGCCTGTGGGACGTATTTCCTTCCGAAGACCAGATAAAAGACAAGACTGAACTCTGCTTGATCCGCTTCACACTTTTGATGACTTTTTTTTTTTATCATCTCTCTTGCGGACCTCCTCCTCTTCCTCGCTTCCCATGTATTCGGAAGCAGCTGGTCCCAGTCAAGCAGTGGATTTGTTCACACGTCAAAAAAAAAACCGTCACCTCCACGCAGCTTTTGGCATTTCACCTCCGCATCATTCTCCAGACTCTGTGGGACTGAAGGAGCAGCGGACACTTTCTCCTTCCCAGAGGATTATTACAGCCAAAAAAAGACTGTCTTGTGTTTGATGTGGATTCTAAAAAGGGGAACACTAGTCTAAATCCTGAAACATATTCCCGAGTTTAACTTCATTTTAGAACAAGTACAAGCTGCGTTTATTGCCAGTGGTTGAGTTTTACAAGCCTGTCCACACGGATACATACACGAGGCGCTTGCAGAAACACGCAGAGTCAGTTTCGGTCACATTCCTGACAACACATTCTGCTCTGGATTAGATCTACATCCTCGTTCCTCGGCATGAGTTATTATACGTTTGAATGTACTTCTGGCTTGTCCGGAGCTCACGTAGGCATTATATGTACTTGTTTCCAAAAGTACTTGATGAAGTGTTGTTGATCACGTCTCATGAGTGGACTCGTGTTTACCTTTCCACCCACTGAAGTGAAGTAAACTGTGGGCGGCTTCTTCTAAAATGTAGTCATGAGGCTTTTCTCACGTAGATATGAGGGTATTTAAAAGAGAAAACGGAAGTATGCAATCAGTTTTTCAACACAAAAGCAGCACTATTCAACTTAGTTTTCTAAAAGTGTTTGTCATTATATTTTTGTATTCAGTATTGATGCTTGGTTTGGGCAAAGAGTTCAGTGTGTGTTGAGTGTGAAACGAGTGCTCTCCTTTAACCAGAAGCATGTTTTATACATATAAATATACACAGTATATATTTTACATGTCATACAGTGCACATTATATTATTTATACGGCCTTGTCCACTTTGTATTTAAGGGCTCTACAACTATTGCATGTTTGCGACCAAACTGCTCTAAAGTAACCACTTAAACAATAAAGACATGGATGTGTTTTTTCTTGCCCGTTTCCTTTTCATTTCTATAAAAGAGTAATGTAGAATTTAATAATAATGCATCAGTTTTATAAAGCGCTTTTCAGGACACACAAAAGTCACTTCACATGTCATTCATTCACTCCAAACACAGGTGATAAACTACTAATGTAGCCACAGCTGCCCTGGGGCACATTGACAGAAGCAAGGCAACCACCACCAACCATTCACACACACACCAGACTCATTCTAATGTGGGTGAAGTGTCTTGCCAAAGGACACAGCCGCCCCACTGCGGCACCTGGTGTTCCTAGAGGTCTCCCATCACAGCACTAACCAGGCACTGCCCTGCACAGCATCAGAGGTGCTCATAGAAGTTTGGCCATGTCTCCCCAAACACGAATCTTCAGATGTTTGCTTTGTTCGGTGGAAAAACCTGAACCACACCTTTTTAACAATAACATTAAATATGAAGAAAAGAAGTGTTTGTGTCGCTGTCGTTTTTATTACTCTAAAACTATTGGTATAAAACACATGTTAACAATACACACTTCATCTCATATAAAAACTACAAATATCCTGAGAAGAATATTTTGGAAAAGCTTGTTGCATAAAACATTGACCTCACGTTGCGTCTTCGTTTACGACATTTTTAGTCTGGAACGTTTAAACAGGAATGTGTCACTGAGGTAAAAACAAAAGCACATTTTAAAGGGAAAGTTTACACAAAGTCCCGACATCAGCGTTGCTCCAGTCCATCTCACTTGAAAAGAATCCAAATCAGTCTTCTTTCTTTGGGCTGCGCTGTCTCTGGTAGTAAATGATTGTGAGGAGCACCCATATGTTTAACAGGGTCATCACTATGAAGCGGATCAGGACTGCACACCAGGAAATGCAACACATCAGTACCATGAAGACAGTTTGTGTAAAGCTTAGAGGCAGGACTTACCCAGCATGTCGCCTGTAGTGACTGTGGCAGTGTAAATACGGGCTAAACAAAAGCAGTTCATTGGTTACTTTAGTCTCAGCTGTTGCAGAAGAGGATGGGTCAGAACTAGATCATTCTCGGAATCGCGACGGAAGCAACTATAACCAACTACCTATTCATGCCTTAAACTTAAACTTAACCAGCAATTCCCATAAAATAACCCCAACCCAGCCTTAACCCTAAACTTAACCATCTTACTCAGACCACCTTAACCCTAAACTTAACCATTTTACTCAGACCACCTTAACCATCTTACTCAGACCACCTTAAGCCTAACCTTAACCATCTTACTCAGACCACCTTAACCCTAACCTTAACCATCTTACTCAGACCACCTTAACCCTAACCTTAACCATCTTACTCAGACCACCTTAACCCTAACCTTAACCATCTTACTCAGACCGCCTTAATCCTAAACTTAACCATCTTACTCAGACCACCTTAACCATCTTACTCAGACCACCTTAAGCCTAACCTTAACCATCTCACTCAGACCCACCTTAACCCTAAACTTAACCATCTTACTCAGACCACCTTAACCCTAAACTTAACCATCTTACTCAGACCACCTTAACCCTAACCTTAACCATCTTACTCAGACCACCTTAACCCTAACCTTAACCATCTTACTCAGACCACCTTAACCCTAACCTTGACCATCTTACTCAGACCACCTTAACCCTAACCTTGACCATCTTACTCAGACCACCTTAACCCTAACCTTAACCATCTTACTCAGACACCTAAAACTTAACCAGTCACCACTTTAGGACGTATTAGTCTAAAACTAATTTGAAAGTAGGGTTGTCACTTCCGGTTTCGTCCTGATTCCGTATATGATCCAGTGCCGACCAAAGAGGGTGTGGCTCTGACCTGCACAGGTGTAGGTCGCTAACGCCCAGGTGAGAGCGCTGACTTGTCCTGCGTCCTGTGACTTCCAGAGACACTGAAGCTGGGTTAATTTACTGGCAGCACTGATGACCGTGCACAGACTCTGAGCAGAAAGAGACACATGTGAGGCGGGAAACATGGAGCTTTTTATATATTCTTGGGTTTCATTAAACTGGCCAGTAGGGGGCGCATGAGCAGAGGTGGGACCACTCAGTGTTGCTCCCATTGAAAACCATGTAAAGTCTGTTTTGGAGTCAAAGGCTCTCCTCCTGTGCGGTGTACGGTTGTTGGAACAGTCTTAATCGGGGACACTCAATTCTAAGGGAGTACTAACAAATATTTCTCAAAAGAGTCTTGATTTTGGGCATTTTTGGAAAGAAAAACTGAAGAAATTGCTGCGTTTCATTGGGGTGGCCTGCAGGGGGCGCTTATCTGGGAAAGCCTTGATCCACCTCGCCCGCCTCATTCCAGTGATTTTTTCAAAGTGTCCTCCTTTATATGAGACCACAGTTGGAACATGAACAAACTCTTGTCTTTCTCTCTATTTGTGCGGTTGCTACAAGCGTTCACCGCACAAAAAGATGGCATTTTGACAGCGCTTCTTCTTCTACTATATCTTCGTGTATAAACCACTTCTTCTTCTACTATATCTCCGTGTATAAACCACTTCTTCTTCTACTACAGGGGTCGGCAACCCGCGGCTCCGGAGCCGCATGCGGCTCTTGAGTGCTCCTGGAGTGGCTCCTGGAGCCTTTTCAGAAATGTCTGAAAATGGAGTGTGAGGGCTATATTTTATTTCTAGTTTGAATGTGGTTTCTGTAGAAGGAAAAACAATCTTTACGTTTTTAAATGCTGTAAAAATGTGTATAAGTAATATTTAATTTCAACATTTCTGTCAACGTAATGCGTCATATCCTATGACGCGCGGTCACGCGGCCCCGCCCCATGCCGCTGCTGTAAACAAACCGGCGTGTGTGCATCATAGACTGTAAGTGCACATGGATCCCAAAGCTAAAACGAGAAAGAGTCGATAACAAGACTGGACTAAGAATGAGAATGAACATTTTCTTTCAGTCAATGAGGAAGGACTGCTTCATGTTTGTAATGAAAAGTTTTGTTGCAACACGAGGAACGACGTACACGGTGATTACGTGAAGGATTCATTCATCAAAAATTCAGAGCACCTATTTTCAGACTTCAAAACCTTCTCAAAGACGGTGAAAGAAAAGGCCATTAAGGATTTTAATTCAGCTCCAGCAAACTTCAGCCTGTGACGTGATGGATATGAGCAGACAGAGATGCAGGTATGTGACCTCTGAGCCCAAAGCAGATTTATTTACTGTATTTCTATAATTGCATGAAGGCAAAAAAATGGAAGTTAAACTAAAGCAGAGTTGTCCCGTGTTGCGTCATTCACGACACGCGTGGTGCGACACGCTGCAGTGAAAACACACATTTGATAATCATGAATGATTATTATGTATTTGTAGCCTTTACTTTGTCATTTAGATATTAGGCTAATATAGCTAATACATCTTGCAGCCTGTGTTAACTTCATAAAAGCCTTATACAAGGCTGTTATTTTTTTGCAGCTCCAGACAGATGTTGTTTTTAGTTTTTTTTGTCAATTATGGCTCTTTGAACATTTTGGGTTCCCGACCCCTGTTCTACTATATCTCCGTGTATAAACCACTTCTTCTTCTACTATATCTCTGTGTATAAACCCGGCAGACTGCACCTCCAGGACACGTCACGTCCTGTCCTACGTTTGTTATTCGCACCACTGCCCTGACGTCATATGAAACCCAACAATATATATATTTATGGGCTGGTTCACAAATAAGGGTACAACAGTGTGACAAAAGATATATATTTTTATTTGATCCACATTTGATTCATATATTCTTTTTTCTCCACAGAGTAAAAACAAAGTCACTATCATACAGTAAACCAATTAAATGTGAAACCAGACCAACCAACCAGTTTAATTTTAAGAATTTCTTTTAGGGAAACCATTGCGTCCGTTACACATTTTTCAAGGGTCTCTTAAATGTTTAGTGAATTATTTTTTTTATTTTTATGATTCCTTTTTAAAGTAAGTGATTTCCTGATGTTGTGTTAATGTGAATCCATGGAGTTCATCTTTGTCTCTGACTTTATTTTCTATGTCACTGAGTCACAGTAGAATGATCCAATCAGATTTCACCAAAAATGTATTTATCAATCTTTCCTTTTGATTTCATCCACACTCTCTTTAATGTGTCTGCGTTTGAAATCTATGATAGTAATTTTAGTTTTTGAGTTATAACCTTTTCCAGATACTTTAACATAATGCCCCATATACTGTATGCATAGACCAAAGTCTCACCATAGCCGTGTCAATGACCATCTTATCCACGGTGAGCAGCCTCCAGCCCCCGACAAACCTGAGCACACACGGTTAAAGGAAAGTGTTTTGAAAGCAGCGGCTGAAACTCCGCGGTTCAGAAGGATACAGGAGCGAGTAGACCAGGCTCTGACGCAAACAGCCGCCGTAATGGAGCATCAGCAGCAGAAGCATCACGTCTGAGGAAACACACTCCATCAGGACCTTTGGCAAAACACTCTCCCCATTATGGCCAAAAATAATAATAATAATAATAATAATCAATATACTCATTTACATATTACGCTGCATGAAATGTGTTACATCTCTACCCACAGGTTCCAGGAGCCTCAAGTCAAAAAGTAAGTAAGTAATCTTTATTTATATACCGCCTTTTCACTGCACATCGGAGTCTCAAAGCGGTTTACAAATGTTATTTTTGGGAGTGGGGGTGCCAGTACAGGAGGCACATGCCAGACCTATTGTACATATTTTTAGTGGTAGGGGAAACCGGAGCACCCGGAGGAAACCTACGCAGACACGGGGAGAACATGCAAACTCCACTCAGAAAGGCCCTGGTCCAACCGGGATTCGAACCCAGGACCTTCCTGCTGAGAGGCGAGAGTGCTATCCACTCAGCCACCGTGCCGCCACAAAAGGTTTTCTGATTAACAAACAACTGTAAAGCTGATTTACGCTTACATACAAAAACAAAGAATGTGATACACTGCAAAAAGCGATAAAAAATAAGTAAAATATTGCTCAAATTAGGCAAAATGTCTCTTCATGTGAGCACATTTTGACTGAGCCTTTAAACAAGATTTGCCGACGGGATTAAGCAAAATGATCTTGTTTTAAAAATATACAAGAAATGTACGTCTTGGAATGAGAAAATTAAGCAACAATTTTAGAAAATGGGACTAAATTCTTGTTCCACTGGAGAATCTTGTTTTAACACAGTCAGAATGAACCCAAATTAAGATTAAAAACCACTAAATTCTAGCCATTTTCACAGCTGTTTTTGATGATTTCACTGATTTTCCAGACTTGCAGAATATTGTGTGAATTACAAAACCAGATTCTGAAAGACTGGACTGTCTACTTTCATCAGCAAAAATAAGTTTGTTTCTAGATAGTTGTGTTCTTCTGTAATCCCCGGTCGAATAGACAGAAGTTGGACACAAATCTCCGGTCTCAGACAAATACCTCGTAATGGCAGTCAATGAAAAGTCTCACATTTCAGGCCCGCTTCAGTCGGTCTAACGTTGCCTGATTTCATTAAAGATCAGCTAAATGTATGAAATTCACCTTGAGCGATGAGAATGGGATACTCCAGGTACGTGGGAGGAGGGTAGTCATAGTACATCTGGTACGTCACAAACACGATGTATCTGAGAGGAGAAGAAAAAGAGCTATTATTTCACATTAGAGCAGAGCCGTCACCGTGCGGAGGAAGAACGGACAGCGCCGTCGCAGATTCATGCAGCTAAAATCTAGAACAATCTTCCTGAAAATGTGAGGCAGGCGTCTACTCCGGCCGGTTTCAAATCCAACAGTTGTGTTTGTCTGTGCTACAACTTACGGATTTTTATATGTACTCTTTTTAATGCACTGGGGCTGTTTCATATCTTAATCCTGTGTGTGATTTTAATGTTTTAAGGTTTTTAACTACTTGTGATTTTATTCGTTTTTTAATATTTACTGTGATTTTATTCTGTTTTTAATATTTACAGTGATTTTATTCTGTTTTTAATATTTACTTCGATTTTATTCTGTTTTTAATATTTACAGTGATTTTATTCTGTTTTTAATATTTACAGTGATTTTATTCTGTTTTTAATATTTACTGTGATTTTATTGTTTTTTTATATTTATTGTGATTTTATTAGTTTTTATTATTTACTGTGATTTTATTGTTTTTTTTATATTTATTGTGATCTTGATATTTGTTTTTAATTGATTTTGAAATGTATATGTAGATTTTAATGATTGTGGTTCATGCTTGATGTGATGCTGGTTGTGCGGTGCTTTGTGTTGCCGTGTGTGGTATGAAAGCCCAATATATATAAACGTTGATTGATTGAGTTTCATTCTAGACCACGCTTCATTTAGATCTGAACATGCAAATTCTTTTATGGCACTTTAAAGATCTGTGAGCAGCAGAGAAGAGGCGATGTGGACGGAGTCAAAGGTTTATAGGAGGATTTTCTACTTCCGGGTGAATCATCAAGACTATTGGTCCTCCCGATTGTCAATCATTCTGGTGATACTTGCTCGTCCAATCAGTGGAGAGGGCGGTTCTTTCCTCCTATAGACCTTTACCCTTGCATGCAAAATGATGACTTACCAAGCGGCGTCATCGAGTCAAGCGTAAATATGAACACACAGAGAGAATATAACTAGGACTGTGGTTATAATGTGTGAAAATTAATAGTTACCTAATAAAACTTAAGTTCTACGAATAGGTGCGTAGTCCCTTAGGACTTCGCTAGTGGGATATCACTCGTGACCCCCAGGTCACCGCCAGAGAGATCAAAATAATTTGCTCTAATCACCAGCCACCCTCCTCTATAAATGCCCCTGCACAAGGCCGCACCCCCTCTTGAACTCTGCCAAGCCGGGCTGGCCTGATGAGCTCGTGGCTAAGGGACTACGCACCTATTCGTAGAACTTAAGTTACATTAGGTAACTATTAATTCTACGTCATGGTGCAACGTCCCTTAGGACTTTGCTAGTGGGACACAACGCGGAGGCCGTAGGAACATGTACTCCCAGCAGGCCAGCGAAGGGTGATTGGAGCTCTGCCCGAGCAAGACCCTCACACAGTGAGAGGACTCAGGGCAGAAGAAACAAATGCGTGTTACCGGGCCACTCCTACCAAGGATACCCCCACGTAACACAGACCGTAGGTCACCCGTAGTCACAGGACGCCTCTCCCAAGAGCTCCTGACGTGGACTACCTGACCGACCAAACACACATATATGTACCGCACCTGTAGGATGCCTCTCCCAAGAGCTCCTGAACCAGGGCGGAAAGTCAACCGAAGGCCCCCTCAGAGGAGGGACCTAAACGGTCTAACTCAGTCCGCTGCACTCAGCACGGAATGGGCCACCGACCGGTCCGACACATCCAAAAGATAAGACCGGACGAAAGAAGAGGACGACGCCCAAGAAGCCGCACGGCAGACGTCCTCGACCGACGCCCCCCCTGAGAAGGGCCGTAGAGGCCGCCATCCCACGCGTGGAATGCGACCTGAAGCCCACCGGGGGGGCCAGACCCTGCGTCTGATACGCCCGCCGCACAGCCGTGGCGACCCAGTGCGCCAGCCGCTGAGCCGACAGCGGGGCGCCCCTGTTCTTGGGGCCCAGACACACAAACAGCTGACCACCCAACCTGAATGACGACGTCATGGCCAGGTAATGCCTCAGCATTCTGACAGGACACAGAAGGTGCCGCCGCTCCTCCTCGGGGGAGGCATGCGGTAGCGGATAGAAAGCCCTAATCCTGATGACTCTCGACCTAAAGGCCGACGTGATGACCTTGGGGAGAAAAGCCAGATTGGGCCACAATTCCACCATGCCGTCGCCTTCTCCAAAGGACAGGCAAGACGCATGGACAGAGAGCGCACACAAATCGCCCGCCCTCTTAGCAGACGCCAACGCCAGCAAGAGGGCCATCTTAAAGGCGACACACTCGGGACTCGCCTCCGCCGCCGGTTCAAAAGGCGGACCCGACAGCCCCCTAAGGACCACCCTGAGGTCCCAAACCGGGGGCGTTCTCTGGAGCGGGGGCCTCCTCCTGCGCGCCCCCCGCAGAAAACGTTTAACTAACGGATGAGAGCGGGCTGTGAACCCCCCAAATCCGTCGTGACCCGAAGTAATGGCTGCCGCGAACACCGCCAAGGTGGCGACAGCCCTCCCCTTGTCAAAAAGCTCCTGTAGGAATCCCAGGACCCCCTCCAGCGGGCAACGCCTGGGATCCCAGGAACGGGAACCGCACCAGTCGCTGAAGAGCCTCCACCTCGTGGCGTAGGCCCTCACAGTGGACGGCGCCCTCGCCCCCTGAATGGTCTCCACCACCGCAGGGGGAAGACCCAGGTCTACGAGGTTCCGCCTCTCAGCCTCCAAACCCAGAGCCTGCGGCCGATTATCGGGCGTGAAAACAGGGCTCCTCCCCCCTGGACTAGAGCCCCCGGCTCGTCCGGGAGGGCCCAGGGCTCCATCACCGCCATGCCCCTCAGGAAGGGGAACCACCGGGCATGCGGACTATCCGGAGCCACCAGGATCACCGACCTCCTCTCCTGTTCGATCCTCCGCAGCAGGACCGGCAGGAGACGCACTGGTGGGAAAGCGTACAACAGGCCCTCTGGCCAGGGGTAATGAGCCAGAGCGGCCACGCCTAAGGGCGGCTCGCCGCGGCCCTTAAGGCGAACCAGGACGGGCACTGTGCGTTTTCTGCACTGGCGAAAAGGTCGACCACTGGACGGCCGAACCTCCGCCAGATCTCCGCAGCTACCCGTGGGGCCAGGCCCCACTCGTCCTGGAGTGGGCCCCCCCTGGACATCCTGTCGGCCCCCACGTTCCGGACCCCCGGGACGTGGCGCGCCCTGAGAGACAGGAGGTGAAGCGTCGCCCACAGCAGCGTCACCGTCGCCATGCGATGGAGAGCGGGGGACCTGGTGCCCCCCTGCCTGTTCAGATAGGAGACCACTGTGGTGTTGTCTGAGCGCACCATCACGTGTCTCCCCTGCAGCTGAGGAGCAAAGTGCAGCAGTACCCTGTGCACTGCCTCCATCTCCAGCAGGTTAATGTGACGGGCTGAGTCCGACCAGCAGCCTCCTTCAGAGCTCTGGCCGAGGACCCCGCCCCATCCTTCGAGCGACGCGTCCGTGAACACCTCCACGTGAGACACGGCGCAGGCCAGAGTCACTCCGTCCCGCAATAGACCCGGAGTGAGCCAGAACCTGATGTCCGATGCTGCCACTTGGGGAACCCAGATCAGCCTCCCCCCGTCCCGGGAGGGGTGAAGCCTGAGGCGTGAGAACCACCTCTGAAAATTCCTCATGTGGAGAAGGCCTAGCCCCCTGCGTCACACCGTGAGCGCCGGGGGCGGTCACGTGTCCTGCAGGCCCGACGTCATAAGTACGGGACTGCTCATCCCACGTGACTCGGCTGCTGTGCCCCCCCCTGGCTCTTGCCTCATGGAGGGGGGGGCGAGCCCCTGGAGTGGGAAACCCCGTGTTAGCCTTGTAGCTCAGAGATGCTAACACGCGTTCGGCCGAAGCACACACACCACTACTCACCAGATCCCTCCGCCTGACCTCTCTCTGGGAGGGCATAGCCTGAACCAGAGAACCGGAGCTCGTAGCTCGCGTAGCGCACTGCCCACCCTGCTCTGGGGGCTGCAGGCCTAGCGAAGCAACGTTATGTGCTCGAGAAGTAACACAATCAGAATTCACAAGATTATTTGACATGTTACATACCCCCAAATGAGACTCAGACAGCGAGTAATGATGAAATGCCGGTCGGCCTTTATTGAAAGAATTCTTCCCACCCCGACCTCCTCTGCCATAAGGAGGTCGGCGGTGGGTGCGTTGGTCCCGCGAGCCTCCCGTGGGTCTGTCTGGACCCGGGGGCCTCGTCGAGGGGGGACGATAGGCCACAGAGCGTGAATATGGGTCAGGGCGCCTCCCGGGCGAACGCTCCCTGCCTCTGTCCCGGCTCCGTGCTGGTGGGCGGGCCTCGCGCCTCGGTGCTAGGTGCTGGGCTAGGCTAGCCGAGTCCTTGGCTGCGGTCTCCAGTCTAGCCACCAGGGTCTGCATGTCCGGACCGAAAAGGGACGTCTGGGAAATAGGCAGGTCCAGCAGCTGCCTCTTCTCCGCCTCTCTGATGTTAGCAAGCCCAAGCCAAAGGTGCCTGGCCCCGACTTGAGCTGCTGCCATGGAGCGGCCGCCATCGACAGCTAGCGCCTGGCACATGCGCAGGATCGCCGCTGAAGTGGTCCTCGCCTGTGATAAGGTGTCTCCACTGAGCGCCTGGCCAGAGGAGAGCGACCTATCCAGGGCCCCCGTGATGAAGGCCATGTTATTTGCCACAGCGACGACCTGTGCCGCATTGGCGTAACATCTGTCGTGCATAGCCAAAGACGTCCTGTCCCGCTCGGAGGGAAGGAGAGGTCTGGTGCCGGGCCACACGGATGCGGAGGGCTGCAGGGCCATGCGGACTGAATCCTCGATGTCCGGGACCCCGCCGGTCCAGGACCAGTCCTGCACGCTGCAGTACATGCCGTAGCCCAAAGCGGGCCTCTTGGCTGCTAGGGGCTTTGGCCACTCACGTGTCGCGTAATGGACGATCGGGTCCATCCGCGGGCACAACGTGGGCTGTGTCCTCCTCCTCCCTCGAGTGGTGGCGTAACCAGAGGTGAAGTCCTCCACCCTCTGGGTCGGCTGCGGAGGCAGGGGGGCATCCATGATGGCCGCCGCAGAGGAGTAGAGCCCAGGCATGTGGTCCAGTGGGAAGCGGTCCGGCTCCGGGTTCGACACCACCTCGTCCAGCGTGAGGAGAGAGCCGACCTCCGAAACCTCTCCGTCCTCACAGTCACCCCAATCCGCGGGCACGGGTGGAAGGTCGAGTGGGGCCCAGTTAGTCTCAGACTCCTCGTCCTGAGAGGAGTCCGGACGGGGCGCTGCAGCGGCGAGGTACGCACGCCTGCGTTCGCTCTCCTCCCTGGGGAGAGCGAGACACGGGATGCAGGTGGCGCTCAACGCCGCATGGCCCAGGCCCAGGCACATGAAGCAGCTGGAGTGCTGGTCCGTGCGCTGGAGCCTGACTCGACACGTCGAGCAACGACAACGTCCGACGCCGGAGGGCGAAGGTGAACTTGGACGAGCATCAGAAGACATCTTTTCTCTGGAAGTAAGTACTGGTAGATCTCAATCGGCGCCAGAGTGAAAGAGGGGGTGCGGCCTTGTGCAGGGGCATTTATAGAGGAAGGTGGCTGGTGATTGGAGCAAATTATTTTGATCTCTCTGGCGTGTGACCTGGGGGTCACGAGTGATATCCCACTAGCGAAGTCCTAAGGGACGTAGCACCATGACGTAGAACTGCTGAGCATGCACTTTTACTATAATTATTAGTGAAAAAAATAAGAAAAAATATATAAAAATAAGATAAATATTGCTTAAAATATTTTTTTAAATGATCAAAATGATGAAAATATTAATAATAATAATAATAATAATTTGGTTTTATGCAGCACTTTTTTGGACACGCAAAGTCTCTTCACATGTCATTATTCATTCACTCCAAACACGGTGGTGATAAACTAATACTGTCGCCACAGCTGCCCTGGGGCACACTGACAGAAGCGAGGCAACCAGTCTAGGGCTGAAACAACTAATCGATTAATCGACGACTAATCGATTATTGAAATAGTCGACAACTATTTTAGTAATCGATTAATCGTTTTCTGGTTCACACGGAAAAATGACATGAAAATGTAGTATTTTTGATTAAAACCGACTTTGTTTTTATAATTTCATGAATATCTGTCTGTCTCATCCAATCAGAGCAGAATTAGCACAAAGAGCCTGTTACAAACATTTACTTTAAGTTTACGCCATCAATACGTCCTCGAGTGTTGCCACTTTAGCTTTTTGTGATGAAAAAATATTTTTTTCTACACAATTCACAGCCAAGCGATTACTCGATTAATCGTAAAAATAATCGATAGATTAATCGATTACAAAATAATCGTTAGTTGCAGCTCTAAACCAGTCTGACTTCATAAGATTTCTGAAAATAAGAAAATAATACTAGCCCCAAATGACTTGATTCTAGTTTAAAACATACCGTTCAAGTATTGTTTACGTATTTATAAAACATTTTTGAGAACTGTTTTCTTAAAATACAGAATCACAAACTTATCTTATCTAAAACAATAAAGGTTGTCTGAAAATAATAAAAAATACTTATAACAAGCTTAAAAACGCACTGCTCAGACTTTAGATTATAAAGTATTATTATATCTAAGTATTATTCTCTTAAAACGGGTAAAATAATCTTACATGACAAACTACATTCAAGCAAAAACAACTTGGCATTAAACAAATAGACATAATTAATGATATTTCTAGTAAATAAATCTTATACCAGGCCACACATAGATATATAAAAATAACATATAATTTATAATCCCGAGGCCACCGGCGGCTGTCATTGGACCAGCTGCAAAGTGTCATTCTAACCACAGACTGTATTCAAATCACGGATCGATTATAATATCGATTCTAAGGCACAGGACGTGGTTTCGTTATGATTTTTAGCTGCAAGACTTTTACTTTTCACTTTCACTTTTACAGCGCCAAAAAGCACGGAACTTAAAAGGCATTGCTTTGTTAAAAATCAGGCTTTTTCACTGAAGTCCTGCAGAATAAGATCGATAAGCCAATAAAAACTTACCCGATAAGTTCCAGCAGCAGAGCGTTGAGACTGACTCCAGCGGAGGACTTGGCTCGGATCAAGACAAATATCTGCGGGAACTTGAGCACCATGCAGACAAAGAGCGTGCTGAAGTTCGCCACGTCCAACAAAGTGTCAGACTGCATCTTTTCTAAGAGGAATGTTCACTACTTTCATGCAAAAACTGTAGCAGCCACCGATCCAGATCCAGATGCAGTCGTCACCAGAGTCAAGCGGAAATCATTGCTCAGATACTACGCTGACTTCCGGTCCAACCCTTCAAAATAAAGGCGAGTCAAACGGTGCATGGTACAGTCTGTGGTCCTTGGTCTATAGTGGAAAGATGGCTGCTGATAGGAGTAGAGAAGGTATGAATCTGAAGTCTATGACCAGCAGGGACCAGTTGAAGATCCTCCACACCCACCTGCTTCCCCTGGTGTGGCAGATACAAGTTTCAGTCCACTGGTCCCTGTCATAGTGGATTTGTGTTTTTATGTTAAAAAATGTCATTAATCTAATATTAGTTTACTATTTAATTCAAGCAAAACTAAAAAATGTCTGATCTCTGATGTTTCTAATGCGAGAAAATGACAGTTTGGATGAGATCATGACAAGGAAACATTGTAATAACAAGAATTAAAATAAAAAATAAAATGGTTTGATGAAGTCCGATCCAGGCGTCCGTGCGTCCGTTTGCAGCAGCCTTCAGGTCCTTCAGGTCCTTCAGGTCGTTCACTGAGGCCAGGTCTGTGAGCTTCTCTCTGCAGTGACTCTGAGCCTCAGACCACCACATCTTCTTATCTATAAAGTGGTACTGAAGGTCCAGAGACACTGAGCAACACAGCTGACCTACAGGGAGAAAACACAAACTAAACATATCGTCATGAGTTCAAATTATGGGATTAAGACATTTTAGGAGATTAGACTTGGCAGGTAGATTTTTTTGTCTGTAGATTGAGAAATTACAATGTTTATTTATTATTTAATCATTCAGTTATCCGTACTTAGAGCAGTTTCTCTCCTTTATCTAAGTAAAAATGAACATTATGCTTTAGGGACAAAATGTCTTTGGCAAATAATTTTCCGTTTCTTTGAAGTTAATATTAATTAATTAATTAATATTTCAGGATTGTTGGATTTAAAATCACATCAGAGCTGAACAGTGTTTGGGAATTCTTTTAACGATTTACAGTAAAATGTTAAAATACATGTGGAGTACATCTCCACGTCTGATCCATCTTCACCTGGAAAGAGAAGAAAAGTCTTAGATGTGACGACAAAACCAGGACCAAACCCAGACTAAACAGGACTGAACCAGGACTGAACCAGAACTGAACCAGGTTGGGACCAGGTCTAAACTAGTGCGGCATATCGCTGGCCTAATACACAGCCTGCTCTCTCTGCTCACCGGTGTGTGGGAAAAACCCAAACACATGTCTTTTTGTTTTGGTCTAATGTAAATGAACGAAACAAAGAGACGATACAACTTCATCCCTGTGGGTCTTCATCCCTGTGGGTCTTCATCCCTGTGGGTCTTCATCCCTGTGGGTCTTCATCCCTGTGGGTCTTCATCCCTGTGGGTCTTCATCCCTGTGGGTCTTAATGACTGTGGGTCTTCATCTCTGTGGGTCTTCATCACTGTGGGTCTTCATCCCTGTGGGTCTTCATCCCTGTGGGTCTTCATCCTTGTGGGTCTTCATCACTGTGGGTCTTCATCCCTGTGGGTCTTCATTCCTGTAGGTCTTCATCCCTGTGGGTCTTCATGACTGTGGGTTTTCATCACTGTGGGTCTTAATCCCTGTGGGTCTTCATCACTGTGGGTCTTAATCCCTGTGGGTCTTCATCACTGTGGGTCTTCATCACTGTGGGTCTTCATCACTGTGGGTCTTCATCCCTGTGGGTCTTCATCCTTGTGGGTCTTCATCCCTGTGGGTCTTCATGACTGTGGGTCTTCATCACTGTGGGTCTTCATCCCTGTGGGTCTTCATGACTGTGGGTCTTCATCCCTGTGGGTCTTCATCACTGTGGGTCTTCATCCCTGTGGGTCTTCATCACTGTGGGTCTTCATCCCTGTGGGTCTTCATCACTGTGGGTCTTCATCCCTGTGGGTCTTCATCCCTGTGGGTCTTCATCCTTGTGGGTCTTCATCACTGTGGGTTTTAATCCCTGTGGGTCTTCATCACTGTGGGTCTTCATCCCTGTGGGTCTTCATCCCTGTGGGTTTTAATCCCTGTGGGTCTTCATCACTGTGGGTCTTCATCCCTGTGGGTCTTCATCCCTGTGGGTCTTCATCACTGTGGGTCTTCATCCCTGTGGGTCTTCATCCCTGTGGGTCTTCATCCTTGTGGGTCTTCATCCCTGTGGGTCTTCATCCCTGTGGGTCTTCATTCCTGTGGGTCTTCATCCCTGTGGGTCTTCATGACTGTGGGTCTTCATCCCTGTGGGTCTTCATCCCTGTGGGTCTTCATCACTGTGGGTCTTCATCACTGTGGGTCTTCATCCCTGTGGGTCTTCATCCCTGTGGGTCTTCATCCTTGTGGGTCTTCATCACTGTGGGTCTTCATCCCTGTGGGTCTTCATTCCTGTAGGTCTTCATCCCTGTGGGTCTTCATGACTGTGGGTTTTCATCACTGTGGGTCTTAATCCCTGTGGGTCTTCATCACTGTGGGTCTTAATCCCTGTGGGTCTTCATCACTGTGGGTCTTCATCACTGTGGGTCTTCATCACTGTGGGTCTTCATCCCTGTGGGTCTTCATCCTTGTGGGTCTTCATCCCTGTGGGTCTTCATGACTGTGGGTCTTCATCACTGTGGGTCTTCATCCCTGTGGGTCTTCATGACTGTGGGTCTTCATCCCTGTGGGTCTTCATCACTGTGGGTCTTCATCCCTGTGGGTCTTCATCACTGTGGGTCTTCATCCCTGTGGGTCTTCATCACTGTGGGTCTTCATCCCTGTGGGTCTTCATCCCTGTGGGTCTTCATCCTTGTGGGTCTTCATCACTGTGGGTTTTAATCCCTGTGGGTCTTCATCACTGTGGGTCTTCATCCCTGTGGGTCTTCATCCCTGTGGGTTTTAATCCCTGTGGGTCTTCATCACTGTGGGTCTTCATCCCTGTGGGTCTTCATCCCTGTGGGTCTTCATCACTGTGGGTCTTCATCCCTGTGGGTCTTCATCCCTGTGGGTCTTCATCCTTGTGGGTCTTCATCCCTGTGGGTCTTCATCCCTGTGGGTCTTCATTCCTGTGGGTCTTCATCCCTGTGGGTCTTCATGACTGTGGGTCTTCATCCCTGTGGGTCTTCATCCCTGTGGGTCTTCATCACTGTGGGTCTTCATCTCTGTGGGTCTTCATCACTGTGGGTCTTCATCCCTGTGGGTCTTCATCACTGTGGGTCTTCATCCCTGTGGGTCTTCATCCCTGTGGGTCTTCATCACTGTGGGTCTTCATCACTGTGGGTTTTAATCCCTGTGGGTCTTCATCACTGTGGGTCTTCATCACTGTGGGTCTTCATCCCTGTGGGTCTTCATCCCTGTGGGTCTTCATCACTGTGGGTCGTCATCCCTGTGGGTCTTCATCACTGTGGGTCTTCATCCCTGTGGGTCTTCATCACTGTGGGTCTTCATCCCTGTGGATCTTCATCCCTGTGGGTCTTCATCCCTGTGGGTCTTCATCCCTGTGGGTCTTCATCCCTGTGGGTCTTCATCACTGTGGGTCTTCATCACTGTGGGTCTTCATCCCTGTGGGTCTTCATCACTGTGGGTCTTCATCCCTGTGGATCTTCATCCCTGTGGGTCTTCATCCCTGTGGGTCTTCATCCCTGTGGGTCTTCATCCCTGTGGGTCTTCATCACTGTGGGTCTTCATCACTGTGGGTCTTCATCCCTGTGGATCTTCATCCCTGTGGGTCTTCATCACTGTGGGTCTTCATCCCTGTGAGTCTTCATCACTGTGGGTCTTCATCCCTGTGGGTCTTCATCCCTGTGGGTCTTCAGTCTCAGGAGATATGGGGCGTCCCCTCTTTACCTTCAGGAGTCCAGAACCGGGATCTTTCTAATGTCCTAAGTGTCTTCTTTAAAGGACAAGTCCCAACCAGGTCCGTCCTCTCATTGGGCCTGATGTGGACTTGGAGCCAGTTGTGAAGGAGGTCTGTATCAGAGGAAGTCTGTAAACAAAGAGGTGTGCAGACCTCAGTGTGGAGGGAGGCTTTCAACATCAGTCCAGGGGAAATAGTCTTGTGAATAATTCTGGTGCATTCCCCCTATCCTTATGTAGTGTATATATATATTTATGTATATCGTAACATATAAATGAGTATATTTGGTAATAGCTTTAATGTCTATGGCTGCTTTGGTGCAGCTTGTAAATACTATATTTGACCAACACCACAAGTGGGTTTACTTGTTACTCAATCTATTCATTTCTTGTTTTTAGTTTCACCAGGGCAAACCTGACAGGCGTGAGTGGAGGCCTCTTCATCTGTTGTTCCAGGACACAGCAGCACATACATGAAGTAACTGCTCAAAGTTTGCATTTGTTTATTCTACAAGGTGTGTACATCCATCCATCTTCTTCCCCTTAATCCATTTCTGGGTCGGGCAGTCAGGGCTACACCCAGTCCACAGAGCACCAGCCCCTCACTGATCCTCCCGCAGGTGCTGAGTCCACAGTAGTAGTAGTAAGTAATCTTTATTTATATACCGCCTTTTCACTGCAGATCTGAGTCTCAAAGTGGTTTACAATTGTTAATTATGGGCATTTGTCTCTCACTCCACACAGAGATGGGAGCGGGGTCGCCGGTACAGGAAGCGCATGCCAGAACTATTGTACATATTTTTAGTGATAGGGGAAACCGGAGTACCCGGAGGAAACCTACGCAGACACGGGGAGAACATGCAAACTCCACTCAGAAAGGCCCTGGTCCGACCGGGATTCGAACCCAGGACCTTCTTGCTGAGAGGCGAGAGTGCTATCCACTCAGCCACCGTGCCGCACAGGAGCTGAGATCTTTCAGTGGGGGCTTAAGTGTCTTGCCCAAGGACACAACGACAGCAGACCTCAGTGGGAGTCGTGAAGTAGGTCTTATGGTGGCCTTACGGTGCAGAACGGTCTTATGGTGGGCTCTACCAACTGAGCTACTGCCGACGGGGTGTATATACAGTATCTTGGAAATAAATGCATGTTACAAAATGCAGTCTTTTTACTGTGGGGATTTCAACTTTTCTATGCTACACACAATTTAAAGAGATAGTATTTCAATTATGGATGAGTATAGAGTATCCTACAGGTACAAAAAACACACTGATGACCATGAAAGCTTAGATGTGTGTAGAAGTGACACCCTGCAGGACCCTGGGGACAAACAGAACATGACATTTATTTGTCACATGCAAAAAATCTTTCAGAAAGCAACATGCACAGAAGACTCTGACACAGCGCCGGGTGGAGCAGGACGGGTCACAACAGCAGAGGTGGAGCAGCCTCTGGAGCAGGACGGGTCACAACAGCAGAGGTGGAGTAGCCTCTGGAGCAGGACGGGTCACAACAGCAGAGGTGGAGCAGCCTCTGGAGCAGGACGGGTCACAACAGCAGAGGTGGAGCAGCCTCTGGAGCAGGACGGGTCACAACAGCAGAGGTGGAGCAGCCTCTGGAGCAGGACGGGTCACAACAGCAGAGGTGGAGCAGCCTCTGGAGCAGGACGGGTCACAACAGCAGAGGTGGAGCAGCCTCTGGAGCAGGACGGGTCACAACAGCAGAGGTGGAGCAGCCTCTGGAGCAGGACGGGTCACAACAGCAGAGGTGGAGCAGCCTCTGGAGCAGGACGGGTCACAACAGCAGAGGTGGAGCAGCCTCTGGAGCAGAGACGGGTCACAACAGCAGAGGTGGAGCAGCCTCTGGAGCAGGACGGGTCACAACAGCAGAGGTGGAGCAGCCTCTGGAGCAGGACGGGTAACAAGGTGGAGTCGCCACTTGATTCAGACCATTGTCTCTGCTCTAGTCCAAAGTAAAATGCTACATGCTACATTAGTATTTTTCCAAAGATTAGCATTCCTCCAGTGGACTTTCACCTGATCAGTTTGGTCCGGACCATGGTTCATGGTCCAGACCATAGTTCAGAGAGAGACCAGAGAGAGACCAGAAAGCGAATGTTTTCAAATGTGGTTTTACTGCAAAGGGGAAATAAATGAAAATAATTCTTTCAGGGCAGGACCCTCAAAATAAGCCCGACACTGACTACATTTGAGTGATTCATTGTGATATTAGATCTGTTATTGTTTGGATCCACTTCTTGCTAGTGTCCCTTGACCCCACTTTGGAAACCATTGGTCGAGGTCTAAATCTGTGATGTAAATGGATTTTTAACATTTGATTATTCCATATTAAATCATAAATATGGAGTTGTTTGTGTCAGCTAAAAACATAGACTCTTGACCACTGTTCATATGAGCCATGGAAACTTTTATTTGAAATGTCTCACAGGTTTCGGTTACAGAGTCTACATGTGGAAACGGGCAGTAAAGGGCAATAAAGGGCAGTAAAGGGCAATAAGCATCAAAATAGAGAAAATGTGATATATGGCTTTGCCCTTATAGTGCAACTCAATGTAAATACATGCAATTACAACACAAATAAATATTCATCAAAGCTTGTTATGAGCTGCTGAACCTTCTGCAATTGTTAAAGTAGCAATATGTAAGATCATTATATTAAGTCATCATTAAAGGGCCCTAATCTGTCATAATAATAAACTGCTCTTTTCCAATCCTTCTTTAACTGATAACTGTAGTTCAGAGATATTTGAATTTCTAAATTACTTTTCCAGCCTCTAAATCTTGTTATTGTTTTCATTTCGATGTCCCGCCCTCCACCGTTTCACCAATCAGAAAGTCCGTGATCCGGGCGCCAGAACTCACCGCGTGGAGCTAATCTCACTGGTAAAGTACCATGTGGCGCAGAACTAAAAAAGGTCTCGTTATGATTCTCAAATTATTAACCACAAAACAAGGAATAAAACCAGGATTTCTATCTTTGTGAAAAAGGTGTTGGTTATAGATTTGTTGTTGACAAAACTCTTGTCTATTCAGCTGTTATGGTCCCAGCTGGATTCGTCTGCATATCTGGCAACCTGAGTCAGGGAGAGTGGGAGAGGCTGCAGTACCACTTTTGGCCACATTTGTACATACTGCTCCTTTAACCACATGTTTTATGTACCGTACACCTCTCGGAAACTTCCACTCATCTAAATTTCATCAGGTTTCTACGACTCAAGTTCTCATAAAGCTTTCTTGTGGGTTTTGTGAATAGGCCTGTTCATTTACTCATAACACATGGACCATAGCTGACCAAATCTGACCCTTAGACACACAGAGGTACAGTACACAGAGACTAGAACTACACATACAGTATATCTCCCTGAGTGGAACTTGAGGCCACAGTCTGCGTTAGGCTGGGAGCATCTCTGGGTCCAGCTTGCGTCTCTGGTGACTGCAGGACAGAACCAACAGCCGGTTCATACGCAGCAACTCCTGCCCCATCGGAGAGGTCAGTCTGCTGCCGATCATTTGGTTGTTGGTATTTGGAATAAGCTCAGAGAAGACTGAGACGTTGCTAGGCAAAGGGGGCTCTTGCTTTGGCTTTCCCTAAAAATGACAACATGTAAAAGATACAATCAGGGTTATAATTTGTAGCTATACATGTTATTCATTGTGTAAATATATGCAAACTTTATAAAACATACTCTATCATAATCTATCTGAATGGTTCTTCTCGCTCGAGTTTCTATCACAAGTTTTCATGAGCCTGTTTTTGGCACATCTTTAGATCAGAATTCAGACAGAAATATTAAGTAGAGAGGGCCATTCTCTGCTTAATTCTCTACTCTCTCAAATAGTGACTCACAGGGCTTTTTCTTACTAAACCCACTTACGGCATGTGGTGGAGTAATTTGGTCACAACATTGTAATTTTATAAGCCTTTTCTATTTAGACAAATGCATAATAGAATAAAAACAAGTTAGATTTTCCGACTATATAGGAGGATTTTTAGGCAACTTTTAGGAAAGAACCGCCCTCTCCACTTCTTAAATAAAACTCTTATTTGATGCGCAGGTATAACCAGAATGATTGACAACTGGGAGGACCAATAGTCTTGATGATCCACCCGGAAGTAGAAAATCCTCCAATATACCTCTAAGATTTGTCTTTTTCTCATAAACTAACCTCATGGATGTATTAAATTATGACTATATCCCCAACTGTCTTTTATGTGTATTATATATCAATCTCTGACATGTTTCTTGCTTTGTTTTGTGTATTCTAGTGTTTTTTTTGTTTTGTGTATTCTAATACTAGCTAAAAATAGATTATAATGGGAAAAATATTCGTCTTACCAGGTCATCAAACTTCTTTAGAAAGTCCCAGTTTTTCTCCCTGTTGAATCAAGCATGGAAGACAATAAATGACAACTTTTTAAAATTATTTTGGTGAATCTAAAGCTGACGTCCAGACCATTCCTTGGCTCCTCTGCGTTCCTTCCACACCATCTCTCTCCACACCAGGTCCTGTCTCACGGGGTCTTGGTCCGGAGACGCTCCATGGTCCCCCGGGGTGGGTGCACTCCAGCCCCCGTGGGTCTGGCTGCTTCTGGGGCGCGGTGCAGGGGTTCTCGGCTGCAGTCTGTACCCCGCAGAAGACACACGCTGCATCCCGCGTATTTCCATCTTCTGCTGTTGCCGTAAAGTAGTTAAATTGCTGTGATCTCAAACGAATCACGGCCGCTGACTGGCTTTGTTTACGTCTGTTACTGTGGCAACGCCAGGTCTACACGTTGTTGAGGTTTTCAGAGTCAGTTGTACCAGTTTGTTTAGTCAGCTTTATCACTTCATCTTACATATGCCTATATCAGAAATGTGTTTATTATTGAGTATATTTGTTTCTGGAACTGACTTGTATTTGCACTATTTTTACTTTATTTTTTATTCTGTGAAAGCCGCTATATAAATACATTTTACAAACTCTCACATTGACTTTCCGAGACGCAATTACTGAAATTATTTAAACATATATTCTTGTGTTGTTTGGCAGCTCATTTCCTTGTATATTTTTGTTTTTGACAAACCGGAAGTTATTGCGGAAACCTTACTCTGGAGGTCCCCAAACCGGAAGTATGTTGGTCTATTTGGCTCCCTTGCATTGACATACTATTTTTTATTATTTCTGTGAAGGTATTTTGTGCTTTAACGGAATAAACGAGACGCCACGTTGAAGGTAATGTATTCTCACATCTTATATTGCCAAGTGTGTTTTGTGAGAGTTGTGGAAATACCCGATTTTGTTGTGGTTTGCAGTTATTTTGCATTTTAGCGTAACTAACTAACGCTACATTCTGCAAACAGCTAAATATGTATGAAGTTAAACACAGAGGAATCCTTTGCATGTCAGACCTGAAGAAATCCCTTTGTAACATTATGAACCGAGGAAATCTCTGCTGACATGTTAAAGCCTCATTATGATTAGCTATAGCCCACTATAATGAAACTACTAACTACAGCCATAGACTGTGTACAATTCAGTCTATGGTACAATTATAAAAATACAATTATACAGCATGTAAAAAGTGACTCATCATTGTGCATCTCGCTGTCATCCTTATTATTATTGTTATTAAGCTTAAATATATGTAGAGTGAAGGCATATGGAATTATCCACTGTAATCCTAATAATGATAACTTCACCAACTAACTACAGGACATACTTAATATTACGTATGTGAAATATACATATGTGTATTCCATGCAGGTAAATACACATATATACATAGGTACATACGTATTTACACAGGTAAATACGTACATATACATGTGATACATGTACATAAATACACATACAGTCAAATACATATGCATACATTTTAATACATCATAAAGAGGATCTAACCACAGATAAGTCAATGTCTCCTTTAGATAGAGGACAGCTCTGTGACATCACAAGCCGAGGAACAAGCAGCTCTTTGTGAATTGAGGCTGACATGGCCAAAGGGTAATCTACAGCACAGTCCCTCTGACATCTTTTATTATTCCAGTCTATTATTAGGTTTAAAAAGAGCCTTTTATCCTAACATTTCCTCACAATTTTATAATTAAACATTAAAATACTTTATTGTTGTCTCTCGCACATGTTTTATTAGAAATGGGAACAGGTTGATAGATAATTGTACTAACTAATTTAGATTAAAAGTTTGAACCTTACATTGACTTAAACATTGGGGGGACTGGCCTCCTGATGGGACTCTGAGGAGCACAGGGACTGGCCTCCTGATGGGACTCTGAGGAGCACAGGGACTGGCCTCCTGATGGGACTCTGAGGAGCACAGGGACTGGCCTCCTGATGGGACTCTGAGGAGCACAGGGACTGGCCTCCTGATGGGACTCTGAGGAGCACAGGGACTGGCCTCCTGATGGGACTCTGAGGAGCACAGGGACTGGCCTCCTGATGGGACTCTGAGGAGCACAGGGACTGGCCTCCTGATGGGACTCTGAGGAGCACAGGGACAGGCCTCCTGATGGGACTCTGAGGAGCACAGGGACTGGCCTCCTGATGGGACTCTGATGAGCACAGGGACTGGCCTCCTGATGGGACTCTGAGGAGCACAGGGACTGGCCTCCTGATGGGACTCTGAGGAGCACAGGGACTGCCCTCCTGCTGGGACTCTGAGGAGCACAGGGACTGCCCTCCTGATGGGACTCTGAGGAGCACAGGGACAGGCCTCCTGATGGGACTCTGATGAGCACAGGGACTGGCCTCCTGCTGGGACTCTGAGGAGCACAGGGACTGCCCTCCTGATGGGACTCTGAGGAGCACAGGGACTGGACTCCTGCTGGGACTCTGAGGAGCACAGGGACTGGACTCCTGCTGGGACTCTGAGGAGCACAGGGACTGGCCTCCTGATGGGACTCTGAGGAGCACAGGGACTGGCCTCCTGATGGGACTCTGATGAGCACAGGGACTGGCCTCCTGATGGGACTCTGAGGAGCACAGGGACTGGCCTCCTGCTGGTCCCAGAGTCAGACCTAAACATGGGGAGGCTGCACTTCAGATTCATGCAGCAAAAATCTGGAACAATCTTCCTGAAAATGTGAGACAGGCCTCCTCTCTGACAATGTTTAAAACCAGGTTAAAAATGGATCTTTTTAGCTGTGCATACAACTGACTCTTATTTTGTTCAGCACTTTGAGTGGCCTTGTGTCTGAAAGATGTTCTCCAGGAGCGTCCCTGAGCTTTGTATCAAGTCCCATATTCTCTAACCTTTCGGGATCCAAACAACTAATAATAGATTAATTGAAATAATAATCACCCAAGATCCAACTAATTGATTCTGCAAAAACTAGTCAAAAACAGTCCTAGTAAACTCATGTAGTAAAACAATAGGTGAAAATAGCTGCTGTAGAAGAGAGCTCTCGTCAGTAAGTTCTCTTTTGGCCACTCAGCAGTAAAAGTGCGAGTGGGTGAGCTGTCAGAGTGATGGACTCCTGTCTCTATTGAGTGCTCTCCCCCCTTCGTCCCCCCTCCCCACTCTGCCCTCAATGCTGTTTATGTGCCCTGTCACCCAAAAGCTTCTCTCTGTAATGTAGCCCCCATGTGCAACTCCAGGGTCAGCCTCACACCATCACAGAACCATCTGAGCCAAGCATCTCCGTGACCATTGTAGTGACCTGCCTCTGGTCTGAGAGAGAGGACACATCATGATTCCACAGCCTGACATGTGGACTTCATTTAGGATAAACGTGAAAGAAGCATCGTTCTTTTTGTTTTCACTCTTGCCAAACCAGGATGAGCTTAGATATGGAGAAACAAAAATCCTGTGAGTTTGGAGTTTGGACCTGTGTGTGGGCTCTAGGTTTAGTTTTTCATCTTTAATGAGTTTGATAATTTCCTGACTTCCCACCTGTGAGATAATTGTTGTGTTTTTGTTTCTTGCACGTATGATAAATGACGGACAACTTCAAGTACTCTCAGACTGAGATGTTTAATATTATTGCAGGCCCAGACCCGGAGGGGGACATGACTAAGGAGGAAGTGTCAGGACCTGTGGAGGGTGACACTGCCCCAGGCAGTCTGCTGGGACAGTCCCACCAGCGCCCGGTGGTCTACCCAGTCGCCTCTGCGCCCATACCCAGTGAATGTGGTACGTTATATTTATATACGTATGTTATATACATATGTTATGCATTCTGGAAAAGCACATCCGTTCATTTGACTCATTTTGAATAAATGTTTCCCTGATTCATTATTATTCTTGGAATATCCTTTTAAGTTTGAATAATTTTATTGGCAGAAATGTATCCAAATATGGATTGCTTTGAAGTTGCATTTATACTACCATTATGCAATCTTCTTTAATAATTAAAGGAAAGGAAAGAAATTAAAGCAAATTCGAGTTTAATTTAACGCTTATTTGGCAGAAAACAGATATGGCTCCAAAGTAGTTTTCGGGAGCTCATATAGCTTTGCTAAACTATAAAAAATAAGTAAGTATAACATTACTTTCCTTCTCACATCAGAGTTCTCCTTCTTTGATCCGAGCGACTCGCGATGCAAAGAGATCCTGGAGGACTCCAGCACCACCATCCCAGAGCTGTTCGCTGTGCTCCGACAGTGGGTTCCCCAGGTCCAGAAAAACATTGATGTCATCGGCAACGAGGCAAGATGCTTTTATCTGACTTTATTCAGGTCTGCAGCTGACAGACTGAAAGATTTAAACTGTGAAGTCTTATTCAGACATTTTACTTTAAATAACACTGGTAAATGCACTCATTTTGTGAGGTAGTGATTTTCAGACAGCTTCACTTGAAAATAACTTCTGCCACAGAAAGATAAGCTGTAGATATTCAAGTGTTTCTTTTATGCCCAGATCCTTAGAAGAGGCTGTGGGGTGAACGATCGGGACGGTCTGACGGACATGAGCCTCCTGCACTACTGCTGCAAGGCCGGGGCTCCAGGCATCGGTTCGTTTCAACACCTCTGTGTGAATAAACTGTGCATAAACCTGCCCCTGTCTGCTCTGTTATATTCTTCTTATATTCCTCTTATATTCCTCTTGTATTTGCTCGGTGAATGTCAGGTGATGCAGAGCGGGCAGCGTGTTTGGCCCGGCACCTGCTGGCCCTGGGTGCAGATCCAAACCTTCGCTCTCGCTGGACCAACATGAAGGCTCTGCACTACGCCGCGTACTTCGACGTCCCACAGCTCATCCGAGTGGTTCTGCAGAGCGCTCTGCCCGGAGGTGAGGGCAGCATCATGCTCTAGGTTTCACATGAGGAGAAGTGTCATTCAGAAGCCTCAAGCATTAGCCTGGTCTTAGCCAAGTGGAACTCACATTTATATAAAAGTGGGAAATGAGAGGAGCATTCTCACTCGGCCAATCAGCTCAAAGCGTCAAGTAGTATCTCACAGGGCTCTTCCTTTAAAGCAGGCCCCTCCAAACTCAGGCCCGTGGGTCAATTTTGGCCCTCTGTGCCCTTTTATGTGGCCCTCTGCTGCTAACACAAAGTCGCCATTGAGGCTCTTTGACAGTATCATCCAAACAACTTAAGCTCAGTCATGTCGTGTTGTAAATCTCAGACTCTCTAGAACCCAGTGGCTGACTTTATTGTTACTGTCATTTATTTCATGATCGTGTCACAACGTTCCAAATAATATGCAGCTGTGGTGTGGATCAAAAACCCATTTTAAATTCCAGAATCCAGTAAATCCAGCTCAAATCCAGGTTTTTTCAAATCCCCAGGTCAAGTCTGATGAACTAAAGTGGCCCTCTTACTAAAAAGTCTGGACACCCCTGCTGTATGAAAGTTATATCTTTTCTATTAAGATGGGGACAGAATTTATGGTCTGATTTGTTCACAACATTTAACTTTTTACTTTTACACGACTCTTTCAGACAAACAGATATTAGTTATATTAAAAACTTCCAACTTGTCACGTTGTTCCTGCAGTTATACACTTTTATATTATTATATTGCAAATGGTAAAATGATTGACAGTTTGTGGTCTTGGCTGGTTGAAAGCAGAGCGCCTTATCCTCCAAAAACTTCAATACTTTTCAGTTTAATGGAGATATTTTCTTAAAGACACTTCTCTCCGTTTACTCAATTAAAAGTAATCTGTGCGGACATTCTGCAATCTTTGAACTTTCAGATGCATTCTGGGAATATCCGCCACTCTTACATCAGGCTGAATAAACATTTATCTCATTTGCATTTATTCTGCTTATAAAGATTTAATACACAATAATAACTTGTTTTTGTTGTGGATTTTCAATACAGCACATTTATCGATATATTTAACTCGATATTTGATCAAGACTTTGTTTATCAAAGTCTTTTTATATTAATCATGAAATGTTTCCAAGTGGTTTTATGTTATGTGTTTTCATTGGAGTGCCTTGGAGTTTTCAGAGAGGTAGAGGAGATAATACCAGACCAAGACCAAGACCAAGACCAAGACCAAGACCAAGACCAAGACCAAGACCAAGACCAAGACCAAGACCAAGACCAAGACCAAGACCAAGACCAAGACCAAGACCAAGACCAAGACCAAGACCAAGACCAAGACCAAGACCAAGACCAAGACCAAGACCCAGACCCAGACCCAGACCCAGACCCAGACCCAGACCCAGACCCAGACCCAGACCCAGACCCAGACCCAGACCCAGACCCAGACCCAGACTCTCCGATTTGACCATATATGGAGAAAAAAATTGCGTCTTCGTAGGCACTTCCTCTTCTTCACATTTGGATAAAACCGTTTTGAACGACATGTCAGTCTGAACAAACACGGTCAGGGAAATAGAATCTCAAAGAGTCTTGTATTAGTATTTAATTGTAAATGGAATTAAATCTTGTCTGTTCAAACTCTCAATGTCTTGGTTTTTCTTTTCTGGTCAAGCTCTGAATCTCTCTACCAGATTTACTAATAATGGTCCTTGTATGTTTGTTTTGCAGAGGTGGATGCCACTTGCAGTGACTTTGACTTTGGCACAGCTTTGCACATTGCTGCCTCCAATCTGTGCACCACGGCGGTCAAGTGTCTCCTGGACTTTGGGGCCAACCCTGCGTTCCGGGTAAGTGCATTAGCTGCTGCTCCAGAGACTACCTTTGTCAGTGGCCCGTCCAGCCAGGCCCCGGGGCGGTCAGTGCTCGTGCTACACAGCAAGTGGTCCTGGGTTCTCTGTGGAGTTTGCATATTCTCCCTGTGTCTGTGAAGGTTCTGGTTGGTGGGTCTGGGGCAGGGCTGTAATTAACATTGATTTTGATTAGTTGGTTGATTGTTCTTTTGATTTATTTGTTCTTTAGAGCTTGAAAAGGTCAGTGAATACGGGATTTCTTTTCAACAAAACAAAGCCAACACATACACTGCAGAAAGGGGAAGAAAAATACATGAAAAATTGCTTAAAATTGGCCAAATGTATCTTTATTTGAGCACATTCTGACTGAGCCTTTGAACAAGATTTGCCAACGGGACACAGCAAAATGATCTTGTTTTAAAAAGATACAAGAAATGTCTGCCTTAGAATGAGAAATTAAAGAAACAGTTCTTGAAATGAGACTAAACGGCTTTGTCCCATTGGAGAATCTTGTTTTAACACAGTCAGAATAAACTCAAATTAAGATAAAATCTACTCAATTCAAGCAGTTATTACTTCATATTTCATCACTTTTTGCTGTGTGCACATTTGCTGTTAGAAAATACTTGTTTATTTCATTCTGCAGTCATTTTAGAGAATTATCCCAAGATTCAAGATCAAGATTCATTTATTTGGCCATGTGCAGTTAAAAAACCACATTGGAATACGTTCGCAAGAAAGGCACTCCGTGTGCACCGACAGAACAAAAGCACGACACAATGCAATACAAAACACACATACACTGAACATAAAACAATAAAAAAACAGCTGACACTGTGGCACCGATCACAAAACAATACACAATAGCACAATACAAAACAATACAATCCGAGACCTAAAACCTTCTTATCAACATGTTTAAGTCTATGTAAGGTTCAAAAACGATGAATCTGATGCTAAAAGAGAACTTGACTTTTTCAATAATCGATGAGTTGTGATTAATAAATGCACTTGTTCCAGTCTCAGTCAGGTGTGTAGCTTCTGTCATCTCTCTGTGTGTGTGAGTGAATGAAAAAATTGATTCTTGTGTCAAAGGCAGATGGGTGTTTGAAATTTGGTGTTAAAAATCTATTGGTTTTTGCTTGTCATGGCAAATGTGCTGGTGGGTAAGAGAGGTTCCGTAAGTCTTTCCATCTGGCTGCTGTCAGACTGTACAATGAGAACTGCTGAGTCTGCAAATGTCATTCATCTGTAAATAAGTTATTACTTAAATCATGTGCAAACTCCAGAATGTCACTGAACAATGTCATTTTACTTTATCTACTTATTATCCTGCCCTATATGTAACTACTACATATATATATTTTATTTTGAAAGGCTGGTATTGAAGTGTATTGTGTGTGCTCCCTGTGTGCTCTTACTACTGTCCTGTCTGTGCGCTGCAACAACGACATTTCCCCACTGTGGGACGACTAAAGGATGTCTTTTCTGTTATATTTTTTATTTTTTGAGATTGTATCATTCACTAATTTCCCACTGGAGGTCACCAAAGCACCACACATCACACGCTGCGTTCTGTGAAATCTGTGAGCAGTGTCAGAATGGTTGGTGTTAATTTGGATTCTTTAATGTTTATAAAATACTGTCAAATAAGCATACAAAAATTACAAAAACTAAATAATTACTCAAACTTGAATAATTACACAAAATTGATCATGCTAAATTTCTTCTACGTGATTATTTAAAAACAAAAGTAAAGTTGCAGACTGAATATTATTTTATGGGACTGTTTTAAGTTGAAACTATTTATTATTATTTTTATTTTTTATTATTCAACTTTTTGTAAAACCTGGAAAAAAACTCATTCAGATAAATAATAGATTTTTCAAGCATACATGTAAAATTAAAAATAGTGGTCCTTTCCATTAGAAAGACATTTTACACTAACTGCAAGTACACACTGATGACAGATGACTCAGTGTGATCCAAAATATATCCACATTTCTATTGGAAAATTTAATTAATGGGAAGTTAGTGGAATACATAGATAGAACAATTATAGCAATCAACTTAACTGTTTTTAACCTGGATTTGAAAACTGCCACAGTAGAAGCCTCGCAATTTCAGGAAGACTGTTTTAGAGTTTATCCATCCATCCATCCATTTTCTACCCTTTAATCCATTTCTGGGTCAGGGGGGTGGCAGTCAGAGATGCCACCCAAGTCTCATAGCACCAGCCCCTCACTGACCCTCTGCAGGTGGTGAGTCCACAGGAGGACGGCAGCTCTCTGAGTGTGAGCATAGCCTTGATCTTTCAGTGGGGGCTTTGGGCAAAGTGGGGTTAAGTGTCTTGCCCAAGGACACAACGACAGCAGTCATCAGTGGGAGTCGGTGAAGAAGGTGTAGAGGTGGGAATTGAACCCACGATCTTCAGGCCTGAAGGCCAATGCTCTACCAACTGAGCTACTGTCGCCCCTGTTCTAGAGTTTAGCAGCTTAAAACTGAAACGCTGCCTCCACGTTTAGTTCATATTCTGGGACCAGCAGGAGTCCAGTCCCTGTGCTCCTCAGTGTCCCAGCAGGAGGCCAGTCCCTGTGCTCCTCAGTGTCCCAGCAGGAGGCCAGTCCCTGTGCTCCTCAGAGTCCCAGCAGGAGGCCAGTCCCTGTGCTCCTCAGTGTCCCAGCAGGAGGCCAGTCCCTGTGCTCCTCAGAGTCCCCAGCAGGAGGGCCAGTCCCTGTGCTCCTCAGTGTCCCAGCAGGAGGCCAGTCCCTGTGCTCCTCAGAGTCCCAGCAGGAGGCCAGTCCCTGTGCTCCTCAGAGTCCCAGCAGGAGGCCAGTCCCTGTGTCCTCAGAGTCCCAGCAGGAGGCCAGTCCCTGTGCTCCTCAGTGTCCCAGCAGGAGGCCAGTCCCTGTGCTCCTCAGTGTCCCAGCAGGAGGCCAGTCCCTGTGCTCCCAGAGTTGGTTCATATGCCACTAACATGTCACAGATGTTCTCTGGTGTGAGTCCACGGAGAGACAGAGCTGCTTTAAAGTCTATCTCTATTAGAGGACAATATGATATGAAATTCCAATGTTGCAGCGCACATACAGGACAGTAGTAAGAGCACACAAAGATCTATTGCTCTTTAAAAAGCAGATAAAGTGACTTTCAGTAGACATTCTGAAATTGCAGTATTGCACAGGGCTCAGCAGTTCTCAGTCTGTCACTGAAACAGATCCCCAGAGCAGACATTTACTCTGACATCCAGATCCAGCCAGATCTCGCCGTCACTTTGTACATACATATTTTTTTCAGCATGAAATTAATTAGTTTTGTGAGTGCAATTTAGGTCACACACAAAAGTTAATTTTTTTTTCCGTTCTCCTTTTTAGTAGTAATTAATTTGATGAGTTGATTTTATTTTCGTCAATAGAGAAGATCTTTGGGGTATTTCCAGTCCTAGTTTATCCTTTCTGAAGTCTTCTGAAGAGTAATTCCATAAGACTATTGCAACAGCGTGGCCATTGCATAAACCACCGTCCCGTCACATCATGTTGCGTTTTGTTTCCACTCGCTGGTATAACCCGATCTGTGATGATTTGTGATTGAAAAGCGCTGACAGGGAGAGACAAGCTCCTTTCTGATGTGTATCAAAGAGGGCTGGTGTCATCGCTGAAGGGGCTGGTGAGCGAGAACGACCCAATTACTCTGCACAAGCGACGCCAACGGACCCCCCTCCCGCCCACCGCCACCCTGCCTCTGTCCCGCCTCCTCTCTCACGCACTGGCTCCTTCCCTCCACTCCACGGCTCGGCGCTTTCTTTCGACAACTGCACTAATCACCAGTGTTGTGCCGCTGCTGATCAGCTGCTTTGAAAAACACTGCGGGCGGATTTTGTGATTTTGGGCTCTGTGTTGGAATGATGCAAATTCTGTCAGGCGCCTTGGTGTGAAAGTGATAAGATTGAATTTCTGATCATAGAGAGGGAAAAATGAAGCTGTTTGTTCTGTGATCTAATATAGTGGAAATGAGAATATTAGTGCATGTTTGCGAGGACTGAATTCTTTTGGGAAAATGTCTAATTTCCTCCCAGTTACTGTGGTTGGATTGGATTTTCAATTTCGTACGTTTTAAAATACAATTTCAACAGCATTTACACAGCACAAAAGATTGCTGAAATAGTGTATATAATTCAGTTAGTTTGATCTTCAAATTGTTAGGCTTCTGTGCACAATCAGAATAAACAAAGTGCCTAGACTTCTCCCAAAGCCAATTATGTCGACCGTAATGTTGCTGTTTTGTTAATATTAATCTAATGAGCCAGTTCTTTCTTTGTTTGGAACTTCTAACTGTCCATCTGGAAGAACGACAGTGGCCAGTGTCCAGCAGACGTGGTCCCGGATCCTCTGGACATGTCTTTGGACATGGCAGATGCTGCAGTCGTGGCCAAGGAGCTGTGCACGTTGCTGAGAGAAGCCTCTCCACGGCCCATGTCCCCCCCCCTCCTGCTGACCACCCCCACAGCCTCTGCCCTGGGGCAGCTCGCCACCATGAGGCTGCGGCTTGGAGACCGTGTCATGATAGCAGGACAGAAGGTTGGTGGGAGTTTTTGTTTTCTTGAGTTTAAATCAATGTTGTTTTGAAAAGCTTGTTTAAATGTAGAAGCATTATTTTGGGACGCGTCATAATTTAAAGTATGTGGATGTATTTGCAAACTACTGTCTGAAGATAATGTATTCCTTAATGACAAGTTTAATTTATGAATTCATTTAGTCTTGAAAGGACAAAGCATTTCTTAATTTTTCAGACAATTATTTTGGTTCTGAACTGTGAGAAGTACTTTGCAGTTGCTAAGCAACACAATTCTGGCATCTTTCCAGTATTCTCGGTTTGTCTGACAGTTCACTCCATATCAACATTGATCTGTCTATCCAGATGTACATTTATTTTGTTCAAAATGTTTAAACATTGTTGATTTTTTCCTTAATAACATAAAGCAGAACTAAATGCCTGACAGGCAGTTTTCTTTTGTAGAGTTGAGGTCAAGTGTTAATCCAATTAAACAAGTTCACTTTGAGAATATTAAAACATCTGAACTTGACTTTACAGTTGTAATAAAATGTATTATTTATCCAAAGTATTGTGTAAGTGGAGTCATGTGTTCATTGCAGTTGTGTCCTACATGTCGTCCTCTTACTGTTTATGATTGAATGTAAACTCTTGCACAGGTCGGGACCCTGCGTTTCTGCGGCAGCACCGACTTCTCCTCAGGCCTCTGGGCCGGAGTGGAGCTGGACAAACCCGAGGGGAAGAACGATGGATCAGTGGCAGGAGTGCAGTATTTCAACTGTCGCTTCAGATACGGTGCGTTCTGACAGAAATACTTATGTATGTATTCCTGTTCTGTTTGAGGATGTTCAAAGTCCTGGTGTATTTGCTACTTCCCATAATGCTCTTCAGCTTAGGGAGGGATGGGGGGGGGGGGGGGGGGGGGGGGCTCTGTATGCGATCAGAATACGGAGAAGGAATGACGAGTTTGAAACCTCACAGAACAATTTAAACCACTGACCTCAGGTTTTCAATGAGAATGATCGCCATCTGCTGGTCATTTACAGAACCGCCATATTTAAATTAATTGGTTGCAAGGAACTTAAGAGTTTAAAAAAAACTATGACAGCTTTAGATCGTGTGCATTAGATCGATAGCGTTGATGCCCCCTGTTTGCAAAGCATTATGGTATTGTGCAAGTAGCAGATGGGAAATTGTTTAGTTGGCCAAAAGTTTCTGTGTGAAAACGTGAGTCTAGTTTGTCTGGTGCACTTCTAAGAATGATAGATTATACTTTTTGTATTACTTGTCACAGGAATATTTGCACCACTTTCCAAAGTAACCAGACCCATGGAGAGGCTTAAACCTGGAGTGATAAGAACTTCCACCCCCATCCGCCCTCCTCGCAACATCGACCTTTCCCGTGTGGCCTCCAAAGTTAACTCAGGTAAGGGACTTTACTGAAGTCAATAAATATGTATATGTATTTAGGCTTTAGGGACAGTGTTTATTAATGAACCGCAGTACTGTAAATACTAGATTGTTGCACTCATTCATTCATTCACCCTGAACTGGAGCACCTGGAGGAAACCACACAGAAAGGCAGTCCTAACCACTGCACCACCATGCTGCTCCTACTCAAAATACTTTTCACAAGATTATCACAATACAAAATAATAATAATAATGAAATCTACGGCAGAGTGGATAACTCGCATCGTGAATGAGATTTCTGTTTTGAGTTTGCATGTTCTGCCTGTGTCTGCGTACGTTTGCTTTGAGTGCCCCAGTTTCCCCCACCCCTAAAAACATGTACAGTTGGTTTACCATGTGCCTCCTATTTTAAAGATATATAAGCATTTTACCAAATTTTATGAAAGAACCGCACTCCCCACATTTTAACAAAACTCTCTGGTCTTAGTGGTCGAGCACGTATCACCAGAATGATTGACAGTTGGGAGGACCAATAGTCTTGATGATCCACCCAGAAGTAGAAAATCCTCCTATATACCTTTTAAGACCACACTTCCATCCCAGCGTGGAATGAATGAAAAAATACCAACAACAATTCTAAATCACTTTGTAACTCTGCGTCTGCTAAAGGCGCGTATAAATAATGATGACATTCACTTTGGCCTTTTTTGTCAAATAAACACATTTGTCACGTGTTATTTTTAACCCGAATGAAACATAAATTGAGTTAGGCAAATGCCGCCAAAACTAGAGTAACCTGACACACACAGGGGTTAGGATTAGGGTTTAATATTTTTCCCGAAAATGAGACGTATCAAATCCCGGGAAAAGACGACGCCTTTCCCGGGAAATCCCGGGAAATAGCTGTTGTTTGTAGTTGTTGTTTTTAGCCCAAGTAATGTATGATATCACTCAAATATATAATCCAACAAAAGCTGCCGTCTCCACTAGTGTTTCACCAAGCGACTTGCTTGCTTTTCTAAAGTAGCCATAGCGTTTTCAGACGTTTTGTTGATGGGCTTTCTTCAGGAATTTCACTAATATGAGATTCTAAATGTCTGCGCAATCCACTTGTCGACCAGTTACGTGCGGTGTGGTTTGGAGGCACTGACTTCAGCCCAATCAGATGAACATATATCATATAAATCAACAGAACCTACAGAGCGGCTTATTCACAATTAGTTTGGCTACAGCAGAATGTTTTCCATGGCCCGCATTGTTTGCTCAAACAAAACGCAAACGTTCGTAAAAGGCACATTTTCAATTGTGTTATGGGTCTTACCTTGGTTATTAATGAACAGCACAGACCACTTCAGTTCAGACCAGTTTCATGTTTAAGTCCAGATAATAGTTTGAGCGCAGATAATCCCCCATTTGGAAATAAGCCCAAAGAGTTTTAAAGCGTAAAACAAAACGGGTGCCACCTCCATAAACTCCTGTGTTTTCGCTGCAGCCGGCTCTCGGGCGCATCCAATTTCTAATATCAACCTTCTTACCCTTCTCCTCTCTTCCTTATCATTCCTATCGTCATTGGAAGCAGAACATTACCCTAAATGCATTTTATATGATCTTAAAATGTGTTATATGTATGTTAGCCAAACCTGTTGCTGCCCTTAGCAGATGGAAAAAAAGAAAGGAGCTTTCTGATAGAATTGGACGTAACCAAATTCTGGGCTCACATGTGCCCCATACCCTGAGGCTGGCCTCATTAAGTCGTGGTTTAGCGCGATTAAGACCCATATTTGTTGTCAAAAACACAATTTATGAGCCATCCTCTCAGCTGTGGACATGTTGATTGTAAATGAAATATGTTTGAACTTTGAACAACAATAAACATGCTCTATAATAGGAGCGCACTGTATTTTTTTTTTAACTTTAATTTCCCGTTTCCCGTCATAACATTTCCCGGGAATCGGGAAATAGTTTTGATCAGATTTCCCGGGAATCCCGTGTCCCGGGATTAAACCCTAGTTAGGATATCATTTAACATTTTAACATTTGTGGCCTAAATAATTGTAGTTGAGGAGCTAAAGCAATGTCCATGCAGCTCTATGCAGGTCGCCACTCTGTACGCCATGTCTGGATCAAAGACCTACCTTAACGCTCCGGCGTGGAAAACTGTTTAAAGACTGCCACATGAAAGACTGCATAATGTTCTGGAAGGATCACTGGACACTTTTGCAGAGGATTGGACCCCTTAAGAGACCATAATGCACACAAATATGAGATGACATTAAAGTGACTGTAAGAAACCTCCGAAGTATTCAAGGACGGTCTGCACTGTCTTTTTGTCCGAACTCTTCAATGGACATTTATTTACATTTGACTTAACAAAAGAATATGTGAAAATATGTGATTGAACGCTGCGAACCAAACTAGCTCTATGTGATGTAATTGCCATGTGTAGACCGGTAAATATTTATATTTATTTGTTTTATTTTTTGGGGGTTTTGTTTGATTTCTCCCCTTTCTGTAATGTGTTAAAGAAAACTTAAATGGTAAAAAAACACCAGTACAATACAATGAACGGAACTGTTTAGGAGGTCTCCCAACTCAGGGACAGCATCAAAGACCAACCAGGGTTTTTTTTTTTAAGAGCAACAACAGGAGCAATGTTCTGTCATCCTTCAAAAAAACATGTATATATTTATTATAATTATTATTATAATTATTATAATTATTATCATTTTTATTATGATTATTATTATTATTTTTTATTTATTATTATTATTATTATTATTTTATTATCATTTTTATTATTATTATTATTCTTTTTTTTAAAATATATATATTATTATTATTTATTATTATATATACAGCTATTTTGCATAATATGTCCCCTTTAACATGAATATTTAAAGGTTGAAGCGGAGGACGGCGGAGGATGCCCTGTGAGTGGCCTGTAAATGTCGTGATTGATAGTTCAATTATAGCAGGTTTAATAACTGGGGCATTGACAAGCTGAGGAGGCTAACTACTATTCATCACTGAGGCTGTGTGTGTCTGTACCACCCAAGCAACAAAAAAAACACACACGCTGGATCCGGATCGTCTAAATTATCGGCAGTAGCTCCTCATCCCTCACTTCTACTTCCTTTGGTTCCATTAGCAGCTGTAGTGGATATAATTTGGACCATCCAGATCTGGCCACAAACGGTCGGTAGCCCTCTGCTTCTGCCGTCTCTTTACCATAGCGCTCATATCCAGCCCCGAGCACTCATTCGGGAACATCTATAGATTGGTCGGGTCATTCTGTGCGTCTCGTCTCGCTAACAGGGACACGCGGTGGCAGCCGGGTCCCAGACTGGCCCCTATTAGAACGTGTCAACTGTTAGCGCAGACCTTAAAGAGCAGCAACTTCACACGCTGCGTACGGCTCGTCCACGCACCCTAAAGACCGCGGCATTCCCGGAACAGGACCATGGGAAAAGCTATAGGAGATCAATAGGAGATGAATGTGATGTTGTTTAAGGCGGCGTACTGCAAAACTGTATGTTTGTTTACGCTTTGTGGTTACGGAGCTTTGGATTAAAATCAAATAATCACACATTGTAATTCAGCGTGACCGCATTTAACTTTCTAGTGGTGGAAAATTATCGGCATGATTCCACAAAGATGGAAATTTAACGTAATTAGGAACAATACATATGTCCGCAGTCATATGTTTGTGGCTATGATTAAAGACAGCAAACCCGCCCAAACATGTTTTATAGTGTCACCCAAAATGAAAATAAACCTTAACTTATCTTAAAGGAGCAGTATGTAAAAATGTGGCCAAAAGTGGTACTGCAGCCTCTCCCACTCTCCCTGACTCAGGTTGCCAGATATGCAGACGAATCCAGCTGGGACCATAACAGCTGAATAGACAAGAGTTTAGTCAACAACAAATCTATAACCAACACCTTTTTCACAAAGATAGAAATCCTGGGTTTATTCCTTGTTTTGTCGTTAATGATTTGAGAATCATAACGAGACCTTTTTTTCAGCGGCCACATGGTACTTTACCAGTGAGATTAGCTCGACTTGGTGAGTTCTGATTGGTACAACGGTGGAGGGCGGGACATCGAAACAATAACAAGATTTAGCAGCTTTAAAACTAATTTTGAAATGTAATTATACAGAACGAGGCCACGCAGCGGCCGCAGAATGTGGACAGGTCCGGAGCAGGACTGAAGCATACTGCGCTAGATAAACAGCTATAGCTCTAACTCTGCAACGTAAACATATACCGTTGAAATAAAACGCCCTATCAAGGTGCTTGTGATATCAAAATACTTACAAAGATAAAAGTTTGCCAATGCTCAACACAAGAAAGTTCAAAATGCATTAAATGAGTCGTTATATTTTGTACAAGTTACCGAGAGGAACAAAGATCATTACAAAAAACAAGAGCGCTTACTCTGCGCAGACAGGAAACTTATGTTTTGTAGAGAAGACGTATCACTCTTTCTGCTCATGTTTCAGCAAAAACATCTAATTTAGCGTATCACTTAGCAATTTAGAACGTATCGTATTTTCAAACTAACTTATAAACTGATGAATTATGTCTTTAAACTTGAAGACATGACACTCATTTGCGCCGCTTGTACCTGCGATCCCGAAGGACTCTCCGATACAGCGTCTGTCCGTCAATCTGCCAACCCTCCTCCACTCACCGTTCACAAGACCCTGAGACACTTTGATTCTCCACAAATACAATATCACACACTGAAAGACAGGCTTAACAAGTGCAATTATCAACCCTTTCCCACTCAGATGAGATCTTCACAGCGCATTGTGTTTGCTCCAGATTCCTTTGAAGTTTTCTTTGTTCTTTTGTATTCTCCGCTGCCACCGTTGCTCCTGTCTGAATACTACTGCACGTCTCAGCATATTGGGCCTCATTGTGAAACTACTGAAATGACACTTCAATTAAGAATTCAGGTGGTCCATTAATTCTGCGCTTTTCAACATTTCTCATCCTGTTTGCAGCGACTTTTTTGTCTCTTTAATTAATGATGTTTGTATCACCAGATTAGATTTCAGCCCAGGAAAATGTTGTGGCTGTTTGTACATTTTCTAAAAACACCTCCAACATAATATGTATTGTATGTTATATGATACGTTGCATGGAAGCATCATTTGAGTCACTCTTGGGTCAGACTGTAGCATGAGAAGTACGGCCGAAAATATATGTTTTTATGTTGTTTTAGCTCTGCTTTATTTTTGCTGAAAGGCCGGAGACTGAAGCTGTTTGTTTTACTTTAAAGTGAAGGATATTTAATTCTTGAACAGAGGTTGGTGTGAGATCCATCCTCAGGCTTTGAGCCTTCTAGATCAGGCATGTCCAAACTCAGGCCCGGGGGCCAATTGCGGCCCTCAGTGTCATTTTATGTGGCCCTCTGCCTTGCTAACCCACAGTAGTCTTTGAGATCATAAACACAAGTTCACTGTGTCATCCATCCAACTTCAGCTCAGCCATTATGGACCTGTCATAACCTGTTCTAAAGCCCAGTCAGGAATTCAGGCCTAGACTTTATTTGTACATACCCTGAATTTCTCCCACGGGGATCAATAAAGTATCTATCTATCTACTTTACTGATTGATTGTGTCACAAACTTTCATTAATAGTTCTTAGGTAGCTGGTGAGATGGTAAACATGTGTCATTCATCCAACTTCAGCTCTGTTATAGAACATTTTAAAGCTCAGAACAGCCCGATGCCAGTCAAGACAGTTTTCAATCCGTGACGTCGCCCCCAGGACTAGTCTGGTGAACTAAAGTCTTCTAGATGGTATCATGCTGACCAGGTCCAACTGCTTTTTGTCTTCCCTCACGTTGTAAATCTTTTAGCACAAAATTAATCATTTTAAATTCTTCCCTTAATCATTGTGTGGACTGTGAAGGTCTGTGGAAGTCAAAGCACTAATCAAGCCAGCTCTAAATGACTTTTTGAGTCAAATTACCGCCCGCACTATGCTTTATTACAGGCTTAATATACAAGCCCATTTTGAGGTGTCACACAAAGGCAAAAAACAAAACAATACTTTTAATGTAGTCACCCATTTGACTTCTATGTGCAAGATATTTTACAACAAAATATGAAACCATTGGATAATCCCAAACAACATCATGTCAACATTTCTTTTCCCTGTGGATAGTGGGCTGTTTGCTTTATTTGCAGCTTGTCTCTAAATATTCCAAACAATTTTCACAATGGACTTTTAACCATAATCATCACTATTATAACAAACAAAGGAACATGTCTCTTTGTATGCAGAGAGTCTATACCATTTTAATTTGACTTTTTTTAGTGTGAATAGGCAAAGAGTAATTAAATATTCTGGTGCGCCTCTGCCACGTGCACTGTTTGATATGAGCAACAATTCTTCCTCCTGAATTGGTTGTTCTTCTCTTTGTCTCAGGTTTAATGTCCCACTCTCGCTCGTCTTCTTCTTCCTCTCTGGACTCTCGCCCCCGCCCCGCCCGCCCACGCCCTCTGCCCCGACAGAGACCTCCGTCACGTCACCGCAGAGACCGGCCTCCGCTCAGCCCCAGGACGACTCCATCACCGGCTCCAAGAATGTCCTCTGCTGCTCCTGGTATGTTAAAGGACACATGTAGTCCATGGTATTAGGAGGCAGATCAACTTGTCTAAGCCCTTTACTGTGTACCTGTCTTGCAGTTTTGATATCCACAATTTTGTTGACAAACCCTGCATAAGGTTTTTAACATGTGTTGAAGATGTTTCATTGTTGGATGTTTTTCATTCTCTTTGCATGCTGGCTCAAGATCATTGATTAGGGATCCCAAACAGATGCATACAATGTGCATCATGTTTTTTCATTCATTCATTTCTATTGGTTGGGGGTTGGCCATTAGAGCTGCCTCCCAATGCCTATAGCACCAGTCCCTCGCTGATCCTGCGGCAGATGGTAGGTCCTCAGGTAGATGGCTGCTCGGCCTGAAACCCCCGCTGAAAGACACTGCCTTGGTCTTTCAGCGGGGCCTTGAGGTAGCGATGGGAGCGTGGAGGTGCGTGGGGAGATCGAGCCCACGACCATTAGTTTCAGAGACCAACGCTTTACCAACTGAGCCACTGTCGCCCCATTTTAACCATGTATAACCATGAATGTACAATAGTTCTTGTTCCTTAATTGCATGTAGTAAAGTACAATATGTGGTTTAGGTCTTGTTCCCACTGGCTGACTGATTGTTCCATGATGTGTCGTAGGTGTCCGCAGTCGTAATCCGTCAGTAAACAGTGTGGGGAGTGAGGGAGCGGAGGTGCGTCTGGGTGACCGGGTCCTCGTGGTGGGCCAGAGGACAGGGGTGGTGCAGTTCTGTGGGGAAACTGCCTTTGCTCCAGGTACATTTACACAACATTGAAAAGATGCGGTTTGACTTTTATTTAAAGGCACACAATGTAGTTATGTATTCTATTGTCCTTGGATGTTTTATTTATTACACTGGAATGCTTAACAAATAGGCATTTCCTTCTGGAATTGAGTAGATAATATGTATATGCTGCATTTACATACTGTGTTAGCATCGTCATGAGGCTGAAGTCAATAATTCCCTTGACTGACGTGTTCGAGTTGATGCAGAGGCATGACAACAGATCTCCAAGTTTTAACATCTGTATTTAATTATCTTTACAATCAGATACAGAAATTCCAACAAAGAGGGCTCCTAAAACTATGCATGTCCCTGGCTCGCCCTCGGCTCATTCTCCTGTGTCCTCTCAAGCCAGAGCATTATCAGTCCATGTTCAGGAAGCAGGGGGCGTGTCGTATCAGGCAGGACTTGGGTCCGGCCTCTTCCATCATGTCCCCTCTGTCTGCCGTACCTTAAACAGAATCATTCACACACACTACCACTCCCCAAATTTATTACTTCTTTGAGATAAGGCAGAAGGCTCTCTGGGTCCCCCTCCTTCAGGATTAGCAGAATCCCCCCCCAGATTACCTATCATTAACTCACCCATGCACTTTGGACTAACAAAGGAACATGGGGAAACCAGGTCTTTTTGCTTTAGGAAAAGACAGTTCAAATCAGGGTCAGCCAATATTCACATCTGCATAGTTAAAATATACAACAGTTTCCCTCTTTTGACCTGATTAAAAAATTAGGTCACAATCCACATCGTCGTTTATCATCAATACTTGTGCTTAGTTCCGGCTTGATATCTGTGAAGAGTTAATACAGAAAGAATACAACACAAAACCACATTCGAAACATTCCTTCACAAAACTCTTTGATGACCACCGCTGTGTCATTCTGATTCTTCATCATTAATCAAATTGGTATTATCGTTACAGGAGCTAATCTATTTTAGCAGGTTTCTCTGGGGTCAGTCCCTATACAACGGTATTTTGATTCTCTAATCTGTTGCTGACAAATCGACAGCTCTTAAAATTCTCAAAAATACCTAAATATCTACTTTTGTGCTATATTCAAATTAACCAAAATGCTTTTAAATGTTTTTGAATCTCTGTTGGTTCTAATCTATCTCATTAATCTAAGCTACATTAATCTAGGCTACACTCATGAACATTATCTACTTTTGAAGTAACTACTTTTGGACATAATATGAAGGAAATGGTCTTTTTACCGTTTGATATTGGCCCTGTCTAAAAATAATCTCTATTTTTGAAAGCATCTATCTATTTTACACTCTATTGTGACTCCAAATCTTGGTTGTAGTTTGAGCCAAAGCATATTCCCAATTTTTGAGTTCTGATTGTAACAATTGCATTGGCAATAGACGATTTTTCATTGGCTGGTTCTTGTTCTGCAAATCACTATTCTATGTATTGTATTTCAGACAATTCCAAAAACAACACAGTCGTTCTCCAATATTAAAAACATGAATCTATTCAATTTGCCTGAAAGGGAGCGGGAGGAAGAGAACTATTTTAAAACCGTTCTCTACGATTATATGGCTATGAAATTAATTATTTAATAAACAAAAGCACATTCATGGCTTCTGTCCGCTGCTTATAACTGTTTAAAGAGTTGTCCCAAACTTAATATGTGTAAATACATCAGCTGTTTGTAATAAACAATAACATTTAACCTGTTCTCCAATGGAGCAGCTCAGAGGCTGCATCAAGAGCAATGTTATATTTGAGCTATTTTTAGATTTAAAATTGTGTTAAAGCCTGTCGTTCTATGTCTGCATTTTAATACTACTCTCTATAAACACCTCTGCACCAGTTCCTACAGATGTGGAAAACAGAAACATCTAAAATCTGACTCCATTTGATTCCTTTTTACTTTAGTTATTAGAACAATTTGACCTTATTGATACTTATTTCCACAATAGAACTATTTTGATTATTCACTAGTCTAACTATTATTACTATTGTTTATTCTGACACCTCTTCCTAGCGACCTTTCAACCTATAGCTCCTCGAATCCAATGACATTATAGCTCCAGACTATTTCATTCTATTCTATTATTGTATGATCTATTATCTTAAAGAGTAGATCTGTTTGATGTTATAAGCGCTATTATTTCTCCTTTTAAATTTGCACAACACTAAATTTAGAATGACCCCCTATGGGACAAATATAGAATTTTATTTCATTTTGGCAACTCCGAAAATTACTTAATAATTTTCCCATTTTGCTTTTTTAGGCTGCCCTTTCTATTATTTATTTGTTCTTGTAAATATATGTTTTACACTTCTTTCTAATGATTTAGAAGGTTAAGGACCATGACCACCTATGACAATAACATTACTATACTCCCTCTGTTGGTCGTGGTCCAAAGTATAAAACATGCATCTGTGTGTGTGTAGATTACTGTTCCTCTCCAGTTGCTCCTCCCGGATCGTCCTCAATTCATATTGTGGGCTTTGGTGCCAAAGTAGAGGCTCATTTTCCTTATGATCCATACTACTGTGTTATCCCTGAAGCAGGTGCAGTTTATCTTTCATCTGAAAAAACAAACATTAGAACACAAGAAACGCCCACTTTCCTCTCTTCGCATGGTGCGGCCTGTCAATCAATCCAATTGGGCAAAACATAACTGCATTGACAGACGGTGTGTGGCATCAGGGCAGAGGCTGTAGCCAAATACAGACTTAACAATATGTATGTTTCTAATTTTATACTCCCCTAAATGTGAATAACAAACCAAAGTTGTCCTCCGCCCAATGACCGCTCACTGCGGTTGGACCGAATCACTGTCCGGACAAACAGCAGAGGGAGGGGCTCCCAGTACCTTCAGCAAGGTATTCATCTCAGAGTACTTTCTCAGAGTACTTTCTCAGAGTACTCATCCCAGAGTACTCTCACTTTTACACCTGTTCAATAAAGCTTGTCATCTTTGAATCTCTAGTACTTGCACCGTATGCTGTTGACAAAAAATAATTATTCCATGATCACATTAAAACATTACAGAAAACTTTTGTTATTCCATTCTCCGTTCAGCACTCCTCGTCCACTCCCCAACACACTCACAACACCCCACGTTAGTATTGGTCCAGTTTGTTAAGGTCAACGTAGTGTATTGGACATGACGCACAAACATATAACATACACAAACATATAACATACACAAACATATAACATACACAAACATATAACATACACAAACATATAGACAACACAAGAGGCCTGTAATTTTAACTTTGTTATATTTTTCCATGTCCAATTACAATTGTCTCATGAGCTATTTTATAGTTGCAACTTTCAGAGCCTGCAGAACATGCAAAGCTTTGAGAGATTTTTCCTAAAAGGATCCATTTCAAACTTTAGTGTTTAAACCACGTGGTCTTTACTCGGGCTTGTCACAAACTGTGTCCCCTATATTTTTAATGAGCTCTTGTTACTAAAAAAAACTCATGCACGTGCAATAAATGTTTTTCCCTTTTTTTTTTTTAAAGCCAGTTCGGATTCCTTAAAAATGTAAATTAGTTTCAAACTTTAATACTTCACCTTTGTTTCACGTTCATGTGGAGAAAAGACCATTGTTTTATGTGTGTGTACTTGCACCAATCATGTCTCAGATAAACGGCCAACAGTTATCAAAGACATAATTGTCCTAATTGTTTCTAATTTAGCTATTTGGAAGAGAAACATGTCATAAAAGATTTCAAAAAATGTCCCTACATCTTTGTTTTCAACCAATGAACAGTGTTGCGTCTATGTGTTATCAGAAATGATCCAATATCACCTTTAGCCAAAATTCAGAAATGCTTTAAATCATTTTTCAAACTTTAATTGTCTGAACAAACCATTTTGTACTAAATGCAGCGTCCATTAAAAGCTGCAGTTCTCTTTCTAGCACCAGTTTCATCTGTGCATGTGATTGTTCTTAAATGAGAAACGAGCCACGGTTCAGAGGTTGAAAACACTGCTTTAAATATCCGTATTACCAAGATCATGCAGTCAAAATCAATAATTCTAAACTTCTCCGCGTCTATAACTTGTGGTGTTTTGAAAATAATACTAGTTTGTGCTTTGTGTACTGTCGGTATATTTAACCTTCTGTGTGATCCGCATTTAGCCACCACGGCGTCCTCAAAGGTCCTTAATGTCTTGCGTTTAACATCATGGCGTCTTTCAATCTTTTGTCTCAATTCCAATTCTTGTCTCTCCTTGCTTTTTTCTTCTTCTTCCAACAATCACTTTCTTTCTCTGCATAACTCTTTCTCACATGTTATTTCTTCAGCGTGCAACAATCACTTCTTCGGCTTCCGATAACTTTCCTCAGGAATGCTTCTTCTTCTTTCATAGCTACTCACCCAAATGGTGGCTGGCTCTTCGCTTGTGTGGTGTTCCGGCGTTGGCGCCTATTCTCTCGCATTAACCAGCCACACATCTGTTGCGGGGGATGGGACTACACTCAGTTTTGGAAAAGTCTGCGGTCCTTTTCTTGACCTCCTCACACAGGAAAGTCTTCTCGAGAGGCCTTTAGCTGCTGCAGCCATGCTGGCCCCCCCTGCGACCCTCAGGGAAGGGGAGACGCTGATATTATGAGAGATACGAGGCGCGTCGTGGTTTGGGGCAGGACGATTTTTGGCCACATGAAACAACCAGAAGTTTTCTCGAAAAAACAGACATAACAAGAAACGACAAACAAGTGTGTTAATTACCATACCAAACCAATGATAATTACAATTCAAAATAAACCTATGAATTAATTACTAGTAACAGTTTTGATATACTTAAATTGCGGAAACCCAAAGCGCATTCAACTAACTATCCTAAGTCCCTATATTTCCAAAAGTAAAGCGCTCGAAGAGTCATTCTAACTTTATATCACCTAAAGGTAGGGAAAAAAAAACTTGTCTAGTACGCAGCTTGAGATAAAAAATAAAATAATGCCTCTTTTATACTCTAACTTCTAAGTTCTGATGATCCGATGCCTCCATGTC